TGGGTTTATATATCCAAGGCTTCTGCACTATATTAATGTTGTTTTTTACAACGGTAATGAACTACTTCGCATGGTTTTTTTGTGTACATAGCCTTTTGAAGTATGAATCATGTTACGATTGTGTGAACTTGTGTTTGTCTATTTGACTATCTATGTCTTGCATATTTTATACTGATACAAGTCACTATTTAAAATTATTATTTTTGATTCAAAAAAAGTTTCCATGACAATTGTTCATAACACATTTTACAAAAAATATCTAAGCCAATTTTATCCACGCTAGGTAATTAAATGGTTTTGTCCAAGGATGTAATGTGGTTTGATCTAGATTGACATTTTAACTTTGAATTTCATAAAATTTACTTCATCACAAGTCACATTACACTATCAATGTATTGAAGTATATGTTTGCATATTTTTAATATAATGTTAATATTTATTATTACCCCAAGCATTTACTATTTCACTCAAGGTTTTTGAATTTAATTTTTTAATAAAATTTAATTTTCTCACATAAGATATGAAGTTGACTTGAATTACTACATGTGTAATTTCATGAAGCATTATAATTCTAAATATTTCCATTTTCCGCCATGAATTTAAATTCTTTCAAGTTGAAAATTTTTAAAATAACTCTCTAATGTTATAAAATATGATATGAACAATTGTTGTTTTAAAATTTCAATAGATTGGATCTTTATTTCCAATTTCAACGAGACAATTTTGGCCAAAAGAGCGCTACAAACAAAAAAATAGTAGTATAGTAGGAAAAAAACTACTATACTACTACCTGCTACAAATGATTTGACTGAGCATTTCTTGACTTTTGGAGCCACTTGTAATCTGAAAGTTCTCAATGGTGTTTCTTTCTTTCCCAACTCTCACTCCAATACATGTTTTTCCTCTACTTGTGTTAGCACTCTAGATTATCTTTTGTCCTCTGCCAGTAATAGTTCATTTATCTCAGCGTTTGATATTCTAGAGTCTCAACTAGAATCAGATCAGACACCTCTTTTATTTACTCTTTTGTTGTCAACGTCAATCCCTCTCTCTACATGTCACTATGTTTCTACTTCCCCCAAGTTTTGTTTAGATGCTAGTAAGAGCCAACTTTATAGTGAACATTTCCAAGATCTCTTGACTCGTACTACTTGGAGCCTTGATCCACATAAATCTAGTTTACAAGTAACCGAGCTGCTCAAAAACTCTGCTTCTAAGTTCTTTTTGAGACATAAGACTAGGAGAGCTAGAGGTCTTCCTTGCAATGGATGGTTTGACTTTGATTGCAAGCAAGCAAGGGCGAGATCACTTGATAAATCCTTGGATGTTCACAATCGCTTGATTATGACAAGACTTTACAAAGACTTGGTGAAGTCTAAGAAACGAGCTTCTTTGAGGCGGAAGCAAGAGTGCTTGACAAAGGAGCTCTTGGACAATCCCAAATCTTTTTGAAGGCAGCTGGCAGTACGATCTTCTAAACCTACTCTTGATTCCAAATCATTGATTTCTTTTGCTAAAAAGCTTTATTTTTTTTCCAATGTTCCATCAATGCCACATTGTGAAAGAAATCCAGGCTTATTTTCAGAAGTTGAAGTGATAACTCAACTCAAACAATTGACAAATGGTAAATGTGAGGATTTGGATGGGCTTTCCATTGAACTTCTAAAGTTGGGAGGAGATGCTATTGGGCCTATACTCACAAAAATGTTAAAGGATGCTGCTATTCATGGCTTTCCTTCATCTTGGTCTCTACGGAAGATTGTTCCTATTCGCAACTCTGGAAGCACGTCCTTGGTGACAAACTATCTCACTATCATGGTGCGTAATATTTTTGCCAAGTTATTTGGCAAATTGGTGGAGTCAAAATTGAGCACATGGGCTGAATCTTGTCAGAAGAGAGCGAGGTTCCAAGCTGGTTTTTGTCCTACATTCAACACTATAGACCATATCTTGGTTTTACGTGTTCTATGGAAAAAATCCAAGGGTAATGAAAAAGCTTTGTTTTGTGCCTTCATTGATTTCAAGAAAGCTTTTGACATAGTACCTCGTGAGTTTTTATGGCAAAGATTGCAAACCATTGGAGTACCATCAGATCTCTTAGCAGCGGTAACTACATTATACCACTTAGTTCGGGCCAAGATCAACACTTCTCAAACCAAAGAGATTATCAGCACCATTGGAGTCATTCAAGATTGTACTCTCTCTCTTACTCTCTTTGGAGTTTCATAGATGATATAGAAAGGTGGTTGGAGGATTGTGATAGCGAAGATGTTAAACTTGGAGGCTTTGTCATCCAAGCTCTTTTGTATGCAGATGATGTCATATTACTAGCACGTGATGCCATTAGTTTACAGTAACATCATGACACTTTGGCTAGCTTTTGTACTCAAAATCAGATGGATATCAATTTGGAGAAGTTCAAAGTCATTATTGTGGGCACTAGATCCAAGATTTCTTTCTATTACAAAGTATTAGAGTTGGAACAAGTGAAAAGTTACAAATATTTGGGCATTGATTTCTCATCTGATTATAGTTGGGCATTTTGTGTGCAAAAGAGTGTAGAGGCTGGTTTTAAAGCTCTATTTGATTGCTAAATAGATGTAGAGGATCTCATCTAGTGTCTCGGAGTCTTAGGAAATTCTTATTTAGGAGCTTAGTGTTTCCTGTTATCTTATATAGAACACAAGTGTGGGATCTTGGTTGTAAGAAGACAGGTTGGCAGCGTTTGGAGAGGGTGCAAAAGATTTTCTTACAAGAAGAATTGGGTGTGAGGACCCAAACTTCTTATGCAATTCTTCTTGCGGAAACATGATGTCTACCTCTTGAGGCTGAAGCTCTCTTTTTGACTATCACTTACATCAAAAGAGTGAGATCTCTTGATGCTTCTCGACTTACTCTTGAGGCTTTGCGTGCCATACGTCCCAAGGGATGGTTTGCAGATATGATGACTTGGTCTTTGAGGTGGAATGTGATGGAACTCGATTGGGATTTGCAACCTATTGCCCTACGCGAGCGTATCAAGGAGGAATTTCTCAGCATTATTTGGAGCAAACGAGGCACTAAAATGGAGTTTTATCAACTTCATGTGAATACTATGCTTGTTTATTATGAGCAAGGATACTTACTTGCAGACATATCTACTTCTTTACGTCATATTATTGCTAGACATAGAACAGGATCTCATAGTCTTGGGATTGAAGAAGGGCGTTGGTTGAACATTGATAGGAGTGAACGTATTTGTAGGCTATGTGATGGTAGGAAAGTTGAAGATGAAGAGCATGTATTTTTCACTTGTACTAGATATGTAGAGATTAGAGTGACTCATAAAGTTGTTGTTGAAAATTTTTATTCTTTGCTTTAACTTGAGCCTTATGATTTAGATTGTTACATTATGGATGTTATTAGTTACCGTTCTAGTGCTTTGGGCACTAGCTAGAGGGTTCTTTTGGTTCTTTCCTTGTTTGGAGTTGGAGTGATTGTGTTGTGCTTTTTAGCCTTTTGACCCTTTGGATCCCATGGGCTTGATCTATTTACCATTACCATATGTTATGTATCAGGCTTTTGTAATCTATTTTTATAAATATAATACGTGGATTTAGTACGCGAGTGTGGGTGGATCGTATGCTCAAACAATCAGTTTTCCACATAATTGTTTGTTGAGAATTTTAGTTTTTTCTGCTTTTCGTATTTTTTAAAATGGAATAAAAAAAGTTGATGACAAAAAACATCTTCATATTTACTTTTTTCATTGAAGCGGGAAGTTATCAAACTGAATTTTGAGTACATGAGTCAGTTGCACTAATGTGGATGAAGAATTCATGATTAGAATCTCAAGATCAATGATTTCAGATGAATGATTGAATAATACATAATTTATAATGTTTTCGACCTCAAAAATCAAAAGTTATTGTTCACCATTTTAGAGATGTACAACTGTCTTTCAATGATTGAATCACGGTTAAACCCTTAGATGATAAAAGCTACTACCTGTTTTCTTGGAAAAATTCTATGTGCAGAAAATTATGTGTCTCCACGGAATAATCAAAGACTGCAAGTCAAAGATTATAAGTCGGTCAATTCAGCACCAGTTCAAGCCTCTACGTTAGGAGCCCCAACCTGCTTGTCAGGAGCCAGGTTTCCGAGTAAAAGTAGATCGCTCACTCAAGGACTCTTTCTTCATTCTCTTCATTTTGCCATCCTAACCTATCAATCGGTTCTCAGCTCTTGAACTTATACACCAGTAGTTCCTGCAGCTGGCAATTTAAGGATTAGTGATTCTTCAGCAGTTGAGACATACAGTTTGTATCATTTCCGCTAGTAAAGCACGTATCTTAAGGGATGCTCAATGGAGGTCACATAATATCAATCATGAAATGTCTGCATTCTATTCTTCGCAAGTCGAAAGTAACTATAATTACAAGTGAAGTTATCTGGTCAGACCTTTCCATCTGACAATATCAGATACCAGACGAGTATTTGCCGCGTCAAAAGCAAGCACGATCATACAGTTTAAATGCTTTTTCACGTGCTAGCTTGTTGTTTTATAGCAGTAGCTTTCATCATATTGCCAAAATTTGAATCAGCCAAAATTTCCATACTTTAAAACATTACACTTTTCAAACTCTTTAAAACGATGAAAACATAACCCCCGCGGGGGTATTCACTCAGCAACACAGAAATTGCTAGTGTCCTAATACATGCCAATAGAAGCTTCAGGAGTTCTATGTGAATGAACCACTAGGATCAGTTCCACATGGAGAGACGAGGGAGACCGAATCAAGGCTGAAAACCATATTTCACACAGTACAAGAACATTGTCACAAGGCTATCAAAATGGAATCCAAAACCAAGGCTGTCAAAATGGAAAGACACACCCATTCTCCTGACGTGTCTCAGGAGAATCTTTGTCGGAATGTGCAGGAATGTCGACAACGTGGTCAGATCTGCAACTCCGACTCAATTCGGTATGCAATACTGGAGCGGATGGAGACTGCGACTATGAATGAAGAAAAAGGTCCCCCTTGATAGCTGCGAGAAGCTTATCTTTGTCGTTAGCATATTGAACATCACTTATCATACGATATGGTTTTAGTGTTTGTTCTGGAAGAACTACAGGACCAGTAAAAGAAGGAGGCGGGGGCAAAGTCGAAAACAAATCGGCTGTCTTGGCGGACATCAGTGACTGATCAGTTGCTGCGGATGAGAATGGGATTCCTAGAAACTTCACTTAAAAGCTAAACCCAAACCGAAACCGAACACTACAATCAAAAACAAGGCTGTCAAAATGGAAAGACAATCTGGACTGAAGACACACCCATTCTCCTGACGTGTCTCAGGAGAACCATAGGAATGTGTAGGAATGTCGACAACGTGGTCAGATTTGCAACTCCTACTCAATTCGGTATGCAATACTGGAGCGGATGGAGACTGTGACGATGAATGAAGAAAAGGGTCCCGCTTGATAGTGGCGAGAAGCTCATCTCTGTCGCAACTCCGAATCAATTTGGTATGCAATACTGGAGCGGATGGAGACTGTGACGATGAATGAAGAAAAAGGTCCCGATTGATAGTGGCGAGAAGCTCATCTTTGTCGCAACTCCGAATCAATTCGGTATACAATACTGGAGCGTATGGAGACTGCGACGATGAATGAGGAAAAAGGTCCCGCTGGATAGCGGCGAGAAGCTTATCTTTGTCGTTAGCATATTGCACATCACTTATCATATGATATGGCTTTGGTGTTTGCCCTGGAAGAACTACAGGACCAGTAAAAGATGGAGGCGGGGGCAAAGTCGAAGACAAATGGGCTGTCTTGGCGGACATCAGTGACTGATCAGTTGCTGCGGATGAAAATGGGAGTCCTTTACGAGGCTGCCATCGTCCTCGCATTGTGAATGTCTTCCGACAATTGCCTCGTACTTTGGGCCAGAATGAATTCTTCTCCAGCTTGGCCTTCAGCTCCAAATTGTTCATAGATTGTGCAAATCGAGGATGCCGACCGTAAGGAACAATGTTTACAGTCACAGTCGAGATCTTATCCTTCTTAAAAATCCAGAGCCGTCTGTTGTCCAGCGACCACAGGTGTCCTTCATGTCTCACAACTTGGAGGGGGGGAACTCTATCACTTTAATCACCCCTTGCAAGAGCGAATCCACAGTGTCATCAATCCGTTGATCTTCACGAGGCTTTCTGAAATAACAACTGATGGAATCTTGTGTGAACAAAAGCTCTTGAACATTGACCTCCGCAGTAGCCATCACCTCGAGATATTCAAGTCCCTAATCTGAGACAGAGAAACACAAGAACGATGCTATGCTTATCCTATTGCAGGTGATAGATAGCACTGACGCTTCAGTAGACTGACGTCTACTGAAAACGAGATCCATCGTGAATCAGCTCGATCTTTGGGAAGGAAGGAGGATAGTATCAGAAGTCTCGTAGCTTGGCTGAATTGATCAGAAGGCGAGCTTCCAATAACATTTAGGAATCCTCGTCTGTGCGACTCAGGTCAAATGCGGTCTCAGATATCCTCCTGCGTCCCATCCTTCCTTCTTTCACCTTTACGACTTTCGTGGCATGCGCATCAGCATATCAATGTGGCACTACCTAGGAGAATTCAGTGAATGTTTGGCTTGTAATGTGTTATTCAGACATTTGATCCTTTGGGTCCACCGGGGTTTGACCCAAAGGGTCCAACGGTGTTGATCTATTTAACAATATCATACCATACCTGTGACGTTCACTTGATGTATTCCAAAACAATAATATGTTTATTAAGATGACTGGACAACGCAAACGGCAGCCGATCCTGTCCAGCATCAACTCACAGTACAAAAGAAATACATTTCTTAGTCAGTGTAGGATACTCCGGAGATTTTTATGTTCCCAGTAAGACTGTTGGTGGGGGGTTGATAGCGAGCAGTAATTAATAAATGTTTTGAAGTATACCCGAAGTCACCCTTATTTTTCTCGGGCTCCGTTCCGTGGTTATTCTGCAAGATTTGTGCAGGCCTTTTGAGGATAGAGTTTTATGCCGAAACAGAAAACCTTATGAAGATATCGCTTGGAATGGAATAATTTTGAACGATGCCAAGGGATCGCCACCATCCTTCATATTTCATTGCAAAATATTGACAAGATCTGGTTCCACTATTGTTCCCTCCTTATACTCGAGCTTTTATTGTTACGCTCTATGGTACAATATGACAAAGTATCACTCTGGACATTGTATGGATAGTTGGTTATTCATAGATCACTTAATTGATACATGTCTAGATTTACAAGATTGATATTTTTGAAATTTTCTTTTAATTAGATTTTTAAATTAGGACTGAGTCCTTCCGCGAATGACAATCATTCTTTATTCAAATTTCTTGTATTTGAATTAATTTTTACAAGTGCAATTTTTTTATTAAGGTCTTGCATGAAAGGTGGGGCGAAAGTCTCAAATTTGTGATTTCCTTAATTTGAAATCTCTCTATGTTGATAAGGTTGAAATCCAAAAACTTTTAAAGTTCGAATTATCCGAAATTGCTCAAATATTTCTTCATTTTATGTTTCTTGCTAACTCTATCAATGATGCTACGGTAGCAGTTTATGCATCTAGTGTAAACCCAACCTCCTTGACCTTTTGAACCTCTAGCAAACCCCCCTATACAGCGATATGTCACCAAGTGAAAATAGAAACTGCAGTGAGAGGTGCCGGAGCCATCACAAGGGGCTGCCACAGGCATAATTTAAAACATATTATCACCACAGGCACTGAAGTAAATATCATATTCTTATTTGTCCCTGATCTCCTTACGTCAATCGAGGAAGTCGTGTTGTACACTTTGGAGATCTTGAGGAGGAATAAGCATCTGACGAGATGAGATGTTCTTGCTGAGATTCAATGTAATTTTCGGCGGCCCATTAAATGGGTCCCGGCGACGTCGCCGTCGAATTTACCTTTCTTCGAGTTCGGATGCCGTTTCATTACCATTTCTCAAAATGTTCCGGATCCTGGAGCTTCACTTACTATCCACACGTCGCATCGTCCGCTAAAGCATACGAGACCATCCTTGTGATCTAGAACCTTGGGCATCAGAGGGGAAGGTATTTTTTCCGCGAGGCTCTTCTCGGACCCATCAGATCTAGTTCATGCAGGGAGTCGGAGAGTACTAAAACCATGGTATGAAACGCACAAGGCGACAAGCCAAGACAACCAAGAACGTCCACCGTTCGCATCCACTTCTCCTACGAACCAAACGAGCGAGCTACTGTGTCGGAGCTTTCTTGGTCTCCGTCGCCAGTTCGAAATTTGGTGACAAGTCTTGCTAGATGACGTTGTTGATGACCACGACCACAAAATCTCTCCATGACTGCAAGTAAGTTGCCACTCAGAAGGCGTTTTGCTCGATCCAGAGGAGCCTGTGTCGAGAACGTTTCAAAGCGTGCACGAAACCAACACTAAGCGGATGGCAGAGCTTTGATGATAGGCAGGGTCGAAGGATTGGGCCGAAGGTGAGATGGTGAGCTTACCTGTGTCGTTGGGTGAGGTTTCAACAACTCTGAGCTTGATGTGGACCTCGAGGATTTGTTCTCTCGCGGTAGTCCTTCTCGTTTTCGGACTCATCTCACTCAGCGCATTCTACAACACTCTTAATTCAACGAAGCCCGCTATGTATAAAATCTCTCTGGATTCTACTTCCGCGACTTCCTCACACAATTCGTTCGCGTCCGATTCCAATTCCTCGTGTTTCTGCCCCCAGTCTTCAGCTAAGTCTCATGGATCTCAGCGTCCTAACCACATGTGGGAGATGCAATCACTGCGCCATGTGACGGTAGAGGAGGCCTACTTTCAGAGGATGCGCGTTGTAGACGTTTCTCAGATAGAGCAGAGAGTTGTACCGAAGCAGATGGGAAGCTTCAAGAGTCGGTTTTTGCCGAATGACAACTTCATGGAGTTTCCCATTCTGGCCATGGAGAATGTCTGCTTAGATCCCAGTGGAGCTCTTGTGCTAGTGGAGACCAGCACAGAAGAGATTATGCCCAACATCTCGGGACTTTCGGCGATTCCTGAACTGTATTATCTGTGGAATGAAATTTACAACTGCACTGGGAACATCAGCACCGATCACTGCGTGGGAGTGACATTCTCCGAGAGCCTTCCTCCGGAGCACAGCTACATCCCGGGCAACACAGCACACTTCTTGGCCTACATCGGTAACCCTATGCACAACTGGGCCGAGCGCACCTGGCCATTCGTCATGGCATCTTCGCCTCCTATCCAGTCCACGGTTCCGTATCCCATCCATCACTACATAATCCACAGGTTTGATAAATGGCTGTACGAAAGCCGGTGGCAACCCGATCGTGCTCAGATGCTGTGGCAGTTCAGAATGCTGATGGAAATTTCTGGAGATGTTTCGCCTGGCTATCTGATCGTGAGAAATCAAACCAAACCGGTTTGCTTTCAAAAGCTGTTGCTTCAGATGCATTCGAGAGATCGTATCGACGAAACTAGACTTCCTGTCGACATAGCCGGAGCTGGACTGAAGAAGTACCGGGAGGCGATTTTCAGGTTTTTCGGGATCCCTCGACCACCGCAAGTGAGACTGCCTCCGGAGAAGCTACGAGTCCTCTTCTACGGGCGCAATGATACCTCAAGAAGAAGAGTGCGAAATTCCGCCGATGTCATCAACTTTTTGCGGGGTTTTACAAGGCCACATTTGGAAGTGAGATACCTGGACGAGATGCTGGCCAGCGGCCAGACCAATTACAGCTTCCCGGAAGTAGTCAGACTTTTCACACAGACGGACATTCTCGTCATTGCGCATGGAGCTAACACCTGGGCCACCTTCTTGCTTCCAGACGGAGCTGGGGTGGTAGAAATTATCGGGCCTTGCAACTGGAGTTCATACAATTACACAGATCTCAGCGCTGTCCACACCTGGATGCATGTCAATGCAGCTGCTTGCAAGTTGAAGCACGATCTGAGCAACCCTTTCGAAGAAGTTGTTCCAAACATCGAACGAGGAAACACTACAGAGTGCTTGAACCCTTATAATGGCGTCCCGGACTATACCATCGACCTCCGCAAGTTAGGGGATATCATTCATTCCTTTGCCTACCCAGACCGACCCGGAGATCACTTAACACAGCACTGGTTATATGACTGGGACCATCCTCCGCCGTGAAGGAAGGTTTGATTTGAACGACGCATGCTTCTTTCAGGCTTAATCTGAGGCATCGATCGCCTCACCTTCTGTTTCGCAATTCGGGAGTCTCCTGGAGCTGGTTAGGGCTCGGAAGCTCTATCTAGTACGAGGCCAGCCAATTGCAGAGTTCTATGCAGGGTGGCCTCTAATCTTTGCGACTGAGCCACACAAGAGTAAACCAGCTTTTCTGTCATAAACTTTCATAAACAGAGAGTTCGGATCCGTGAAATTAACATTAAGACATCCATTTGTTGATTCCAGCGTTACTTCCTTTGCTCTTCATCTGACGTTTATCAAGAGGATATCAAGATTGCTCATCCAAATTCTCAAAATCGCTCTGAGCTCGATTCCCTCCTAAGTTGGGGACGGGTGTACGTGTTACTTCAGCATGGAGAGAAGTGCACTGACCGGATCGACAATGCAGGCTGGTGCCCATTTTCCTTCACTAGGCTCTGGCATCCATTTGCAGACATGAGACTCGCCGCTGGCTCTCGTTGAAAAGCAGGGATTTTAAATTTACTTCGCACACTGCTTCATAGCGAATCTCTGTCATTGAATCTCTGGCTTGCATCAGGAATCGATACTGTCGGTACAAGACTGATCAAAAATCTTTTCCGCGGTGACTCGTCATATACCTAGATCTCTCCACGCTTCTCCACGGACGCCATTTCTCGGACAGGCTATCTACGATACGCGGAATGCTGTGGAAATGATTGGAGGACTTCAGTGTAGCTTCTGTCACCAATTACGAAGAGCTGATTGTGCCGACAAGTGCCGCAGGTGATTGCTGACAGATATTCCCTCGCACTGTTGCAGAACCAGCGATGTAAAATTAAGTGCCAACAATCATCAAATTCAGTTAAACAGAACCTTTCTCTGCAGAAACCATCTCTAACGAGCAATGCCGAATCGCCGAACCGAACCTCTTCGGCCCAAGGGGCACTTCTTTGCCTTTACGGGTCCTCTGGCCAGAAATGGCATTCCATAATCTCTAAAATATTCTCCCATAGCACAACCTGAGTATGGTGCCAGGAATTGCAGAGTAGCTGGATCCGAAGCAGTGGCTGCTACAATAATGGAATATTCTAAAGCACCCGCTTCTGAAAGCAGTTGGAGCCTCGGCCCGGGCTGGGATGCAAGTCATTTGCATGCATCGACATTTTAAATGAATTAAGATGGAATTGGTCAAGATCACCTGCGAGTGCAGATGTCAAGACATACCTGCCAAAGCCCTAGGACATGTAGTTCGTTGGGATCGGAAGTGGACGGTTCGGTAGCCGAAGCTGCGTGAAGAGAAGCTCGCAAATCTGAATGCTGGGAGACCTCACTCGAGAGTCATACAAGTGCCAAAAACATAAGAAGCCCTATTCAAAGATTTGGCGACGGCCTTACGAGGGACTAATTAATTTTAGGTTTTGTCATGTCGCCCTTCTACTGGTTCAGCCCCGGCCCCTGAGTTCTGTCAGACTGGACGAGCCGATCGAGCCAGGCCTCTGAAAATAGGAGGTTTTGGGCACGAAGTCTTGAGGAACGAAATTTGCGGGTCTGCTGATGGGAGATGGCTCATTTCAGGCATGGTGGGAGGGCATCGTGAAGAGGGTATTGTGTGGAACTAGACAAATGTGCAGTGTACGAATCGTATGAACCATTGGTACAGTGAGCCCGCACATCAGTGCGGCTACAGATCCCTCATTTTGCGCTTCCAAAGCTCGGATCTTATCGTAGACATTGGTCGTTAGGGCCCTTGCATGGCCTGGTTGTCTGTTTCTTTCGGCCGCTTCTCCCGACTGACCTCTGAACTCGCAGCTGACACCACTTAGTATGTAGGGACCTCTTCTTTGAATTCGACCCCCAGGGCTCGCCCACGGACTGATCGGTCACATCCAGGAGAAAGGAAGTCGAAGGAGTGGCCCAGCTCTGGATTCTGGAGAATTTCTTCTTCCGCCGTAGAGCAGGAGCCGGATATGGAGGATGAGAGACAGGCGAAGGGCGCGGGCCTGAAGTTGCAGAAGGATGTCGCCAACATCGGCGCAATCGACATCATCGGAGCATCGATGAAAATATTCGAGAACCATCATAAAGAGCTGGTTTCTCTGTGGTCTCAATTTCTTCTGATTCTCAGTAGCATAGTGTATTCCGTAAATTTTTTCGTAATCCTCCTTTTCCTAGACCAAGAGCTCCCCCTTCCGAGTAAAACTCAATATCAAAACTTTCTGCCGGCATCGACATCCGCTGTCTTTGAAAACAGAGCCCCAATTTCTGCACTACCCCTGTTCATCGCCGGATTCGGTTTGATTAGTGTTGTGCTATCTCAGTGGCAGTGCAGTTTCGTTTCTCTCGTCGGGCGAATTTACAGTGGCGAGGGCGTGACCCGGGTGGCGCCTTTTCGGTTCTTAGAGCTCTTGCAAACTGAGTTGTGGACGTCCTCGATCGTGTATGGCGCTTCTGCCGTGCTCATGTTGTCGATCAGGTTTCTGGCTCTGAGCTTCTACCACAGATGGAGCTGGATGGTTGCTCCGATTGCCTTGTTCAGCGTCGTTGCTTCAACAGCCGTATTGCTCGCAGTTGTGCTGGTGGCTCAATTAGCCACAGTCATCAGTGAAATGGCAAGCTGCTGTATGGAGGAAGTTTCTGGGCGAGCTGCGTTGACGAAGGCCGTGGCGGTCTTGAAGGGCAAGTGGAGGGTGGGCCTGGGCGTTGCTGTAATATATTGCGGGGGAATGTTTCTCATGGGATCGAACCTTCTCCGCCCCCGATCCTCTGCTGGTTTCGGGACTAGATTGCTGTTTTCATCGTTTGAAATTTTGTTGATTTCGATGTGGAGGCAGCTGACCTTCCTGTGGTGGTCCGTCCTCTACGTCTCGTGCAGAGCCTTCCACCACGATTACCTTGATGTGTACGCTCTCCATCCGGACAAGGAAAGGATTGGGAGCGGATCAAATGATTCTCTGCTCTGAGAGTGTCTGTTTTCTGTAAGATTATTTCTGTTAAATCTAGCCATTCTTCAATCCAGCTCACATTTGATCGTCCTTCCATTTCGTTTTGTATCTGGTTTTGCTCATCATCGCGCGAGATTTCTCCACCACTTTGCATCCTGAAGGCACAAAATATTTCCGCTTCTCGCAGTTTTGGCCCATGTGGATAACAGTTTTGGCGCATGTGTTGATTTTCCAATTCTCGTTCTAATCCGGAGGGAAGTGTAAGCATTCTTTTGAAACATACTCTTGCGATAGTAGCGTCGAGAACGGAGTACGTCTGTCAGTCCGAAACTTGTTCTGGTTGGCTGCTTCTGTTTGTAATGAAAAAATTTCAATCAGTGTTCTTTGATTCATTTTCCACAAAGCACATGCGGACTGAAATAAGAACTGGAAAGATTCGAAAGAGTTGTTCTAGTTGATGTCGTTGTGTTCAGATAGGTTGCACCTTAAGACTGTGTTCTGAGAAACCGTTCTTGACAAAACGAAGCTCTCCGAGTTCCTACTTGTGTATTGTGCAATGTCTAAACTCTTCCCGAAGTGCATGCAACAGAGTCTTCATTCGCACAAGTCAACCTTCTCAATGCAGGACTGGCATGGTTTTGCAAAGCGTTAAGAGCAACGATCCATATCGGTAAGTGAAGTGGTTATACTTTATGGTAGGGGTCTGCGTCCCAGGAGCTAGGAATTTTGCTGCGGCTTCTCTCTTGTGCTTCTAGAAGATGCCTTCACAGTGCTCAGATAATTGACCACTGTGATAAAAATCAAACCATTTAAGGTGAGGTTTATGGATCTCATACCCAAAAGGACGCTGTCTAACCTTAACCAGCTTCTTAGACTGAGAAGTGGTCATTTCAGAGAGAACATCTTGAAGTCCTGCGCTAGCATTTACCCAAATCTCCTCACCATCAGGCAGGAAAAAGTTTGCACCGGGCAAAATTACATTGCGTTATATCCATGAATACCGTCGCAATGCTCTCTTCTAGTCGATCAGTCGGATACCCCTTGTGCGTACCAGTTCTGAGTTGGACGGTGAACGGCCAACTCAGAACTGGTGAGGTGAGTAACACAAAGAAAGTGAGCTTGGCAGCTTGGCTTGAGAAGGCGACAGGCTTAGGGCTGGACGAGCACGGTACAGTACTAGGGTAGTTGAGAAATTGAGAACGACTGATCTTCAGACTTTTGTTCCAGTGTGAAATGGCTCTCCTCAGTAGCGCCTTGTGTCCATGTCAAGAAAAGCTTAGTAAATTTTACGGAGCCTCGTTTCGTAAACTAAATTATCATCCTGATCAAACTGGTAATGTGAATGACAAAATGCTGCTTTGACTCAGTTCGAAGAGCGCACCAGCACAGCGTGTTTGTCGTGTTCGGAGCTAAAGCCAAAATTCAAGTTGTCGTAAGATCGATATTTGACATTCATCCTCAATACACAAGCACCAATGGACAAAACACGACCGACTCCAGAGGAGTACTCAAATTAATGGATTTTGAATTGAAAATTAAACGTGAAATTTCACTAGAGTTCCAAGCGTGGATGCTGACTTTCATTTTTATCTGTTTAAACTTATGTACATTGAGTATTATTTACAAAACTGGACTGCAGATATGTCATGTGCATGGTACGTCTTCAAGCTGTAACTGAATGTAGAGTCTGAAGGTATACTGACTGCTTGAGCTCCGAATCCTCAAATGATGCGGCCTGCCAGGAAAAGAGGCGTATCGTGGCAAATCTATGAGGTTCAAAGACGAGATTCATGGCGAGAATCTTACTTACAGTTGGGTCGACACATATCAGGAACTGAAAACAATGTAAAAGCTGTAAGCACCTTTGACTTAGTTCTCTTAGTACTTTCAACACTCGCTTGCAATAACTATCAAAGGAAGATGGTGCTAAAGACGGAAGCTGAGAAAATGTTGTGATGATTGAGACATGAACGAAAGTGAGGGCTTTGATCTAGTACTTCAATTTTTAAATTACAGCGATGGCCCAAACGAAAGCTTCTTCCTGTCGTAGAACACGGAAGCCACGGAGGTAGATGGAGTCTACGAGACAAGCTGTCGATCAGCTAGAGCCAGAAGTGTGTAGCTCTTTTGCATTCTATAGGTGTTCGGCCGTGTAAAACGATGTCTTCTTTCAGCAATCCCATGTGTGTTTGATGATGATCTTGCGTCTAAAAAAGCGTTTGGGTCTCCGGGCTGTTCATGACATGTTCAGAGTCTTCTCTTCTCAGGAGTGAAATATTTGAGCAAATTGGTGGCAATTCCCAGGCCAAGAACTTGAGTTGTGACACCTGTGGATCCAGTTTTTGTCGTCAGTCTTTAACTAATTACCAACTACATCTTATTCTCCGACCGTTTGTCAGCATGTGATGGTGTCCTTACTGAAGCTTAATTGTGGGTTGTTTAAATTATTCGATTAGGATAGTCAGAAAACTGATTGGATCCTCAGTATAAAGGGTTCCATCAGCTATATGGAACCCTTTATACTGAGGAGATTGCAGCAATGGAGTCAGTTTGCAGGGGAAGCCCTTACTCAGAACATCTTGCACTCCTTCCAACTGCTTCAAGCTCGCGAAATGTTTGTCACCTGCCGTCCTTTGATATATCGACCAGCCCTACAGACAGATTTTACGCAGCATATTGTCAAGATTTGGGTAAGCTTCGACATGGATGCTTATCAGGAAGGTTCGAAAGCGCGTTTCAGTGGATGGAACTATGAAATAATCTTGGTGAAGACAAGATGATACCAAGTGGAATTATAGCTTTAAGTAAAAACTTCCAGATACTATATTAACGACTGCAGAAAACGGATAATTTGTATGACATGTCTTGGTCCGTGGATGGGCCGGGCCCTCTTTACCGTTCCTTTGCAGCCCTGCCTGTACAAGGGGTACGCAGCTAACGTAGCGGCAATGGCCATGCACAGGATGTAGGCTTTCAGAAGATTCAGAGATCCTCGTTCAAGTCCTTCACAGAATTCCGAGCAAATCGAATCAAATCAGTAGAGGCAGAGCGCAAGTCTGCACTTGGAACATAAGGACATCATATGTCAAACCTCCCGATGTTAAGCTTGAGAAGGGCTTCCGAAACTTATCATAGACACACAAGAATCTGGCTACCGCGGTTGAAAAGCTAAATTAACCCAAGACAGCAGACTTAACTCAGGTTCGAACTTTCCACGGAGTACAGAAGTCAGGAGGTGATCAATCCAGTGACCGACTCGTGCAACAGAGAGGTCGACAATCGACCTTCTGCGAAAAGGGTAATAATCCTTACGTACCAAGATACCCGGAGACGATAGCGACCATAGCAAATGCACAGGCTGCAGCGGTTGATTGCGCCACGCGGTCATGTTGAGAAAACGCATACGCTATCAGCCCGGCCTTTATGATCTGAAGTGTGGCCTGCAACAGAGGGGCATCCAGAACAGCCAAGTGAAGCTACGTCCCAACATCAGGTCCGAGGAATTTGGAGTTATGGCAACGGAGAGAAAATTCAAGCACATTAAAAACACGAGAGCTTTTGCTTTTCGGTAAGTTTTACCTGCGCCCATATGCATCGGGTCAGGCGACGCTTCCCGTCGGTCGATTTTTTAAGACCTGAACAAGCCAGTCAGCCAACACTCAGGAATCTTCATGGCTTTCCAAGCTATGCAAAGGATTAGCTTTACGGTTGCAGTTACTTGAAAAGAAAGGAAGGGAGCGCTGTCAACTCAACGAGGGTGCAGCACTGACCCAAACGGCGATCGACTACAGCGGATAAGTCAACGAGGACCCAGGTTGAGAAGACCGACAAAAATAAGATACCTAAATTTGTCACGACAAGAAGAGATCCATTGACCAATTGTAATCCCCGTAAATCGTCTACTACAATCACAGACCAGCACAAATGGATGAATGAAATAATTTTGTTCCACGATAATGTCTCATGCATTCCAGAAGATCAGTCTCATTTTGGTTAGTTCGAACAATTACGCAAAAGACGAGGGATGGACAACGAATAAATCCGCCTCCACTCCACTGGGGAATCAATCACACCCGGATTGAACTACGTTAGGTGATTGTGTGTCTCCTTTGAAATTGAACATGAGGAGCAGCATGTCTTTAGTTTATGAAACAGGTCAACTTGACTAGTTCAATTTTTACTGAGGCAGGCTGGCTGCAATTGTTCCTTTCAGGACAGAAAGACTGCTCAGGTCGTCCAGAAACCTACGCTCGTTGTCCGACACCTGAGAGTGAACATGGGTGGCGCTCACAGCCGCACGAGTGTTCCTTCTCATGCTTCTCGACGCCAGCTTGAGTTCGTCAGTGTTTGGACTTAGTTAATTCGGACGACCTTTGCGGTGCCTGGGTCGCGGCCGGGTGGTGACGAACCAATTGCACACACACAAGCGATCGAATCTACACAACCCGAGATGAAGTGAACGTCTGAAATTCGACGCTTTTCAGAGACCAAGTTTTGACGCGTGTAAGGTTGCTTGTGCAGACAAATCCAAAGTTTGCTAGACCGCCAATGGCGGAATTCGACTTCTGCAAAATGGTTCCGAAACGACGCGAGGTAAGATGAAAACAGCGACGACGGACTTCTTCGATCTCTGCTTCTGTCTCTTTTCCCCGCTTGCATAAGGTTGTGAGACTCGAAGGGTTTGGATCCACTGAAGGTTACGTCGCTTCGCATCTCCACCTTCGTCAGCTCTTCACCGAGCAACTCACACATCACCGTGCCTTGTCTACTCAGCGAGACCCAGGTGCATGTCCACGGATGGAGATTCAGTACCGGCTATGACTCCCATGCACTCCCACTGCACCAACTTCCTGCTTTGACTCTTCCGACAGCTCTACTCTTCGTCTTCGTTCATGCAGAGCGTTCCTAAACATCCGGATTAGCTACCTGCCCCTCGTTTCACCTTGCAGTTCTTGTAAAGATTGACTTGCTCGGTACAGGAATCTCTGGAGCTGATAAAACTGTTGACTCCACATGAGACAATGTCACCACTAAAATTTTGCGTGATGCAAGCGAGGTCTTTTCCAGGCCCAGTAAAGTCAAGGAGTTGCTAGGGCAATGTATAGGGAAATACGAGCGAGATCAATCGCCGACGCCAATATCTTTCTTTGCCTTGTCTCGTCCAGCAGTGTTATAGCGAGTTGGATTTGACACGAGATAAAACTCCTGGGTAATGGATTGAAGCGAAGTTGAAGCCTTTTGGAGGAGCGAGGTGTTGCCTGCACAAAAGCACAGCCCTACAACATCAACGCAGTACAGTACTTGCACATGGCAGCGGGCGAATCTATATCCCCGGGGTTTCTGTGTCTGTTTGCTCCGTTAAGGTGGTCGGAAGGCACCTAGATCTGACGGAGTGGACTGAGGAGATTGGCTTCCCATACGTCGGGAGCTTCATGTCATGTCGCATCTAACGGACAGAGTTGTTGTTTGTTGTATATGTTGCTAGATTTTATTCAACCGACATCTGAGTAAAATCTCGCTCATGCTGCAGTCCTTTTGTGTTGTTAGTGGATCGTACGGATGTTCGAATATAGAGGTGGGTAAGGCCAAGGGGAAGCAGACATGGGCCTGACATTGCAAAATGAGATTTGCCAAAGTTTACTGAGATAGATAGGTTACGTCTTGAAAGGCCAGTGTGTCTTTACTGTACTAGCAAAATTACGATAACTAGCAAGAGGCTGTCGATCCCCAAGATATTCGACACCAAGACTCTGCTTGTTTTCAGATCTCAATGACTCCAGCTCTAGGAAATAACATTAGTGGGGAGCGACCTTGACGAGATTCTCAAAGATTTGCTCATGTTACCTCAAAGATGTGTCCAAGAGACTTGACTGGTAATAATTAGTTAAATTAGTGGATTCCATACTAGCCTAAGCCTGTACGGTAGATACTATATCCTCTTTACGAACCTTCCGTGAAGACTATCTTCATAGAGGAAAGACGGACATTATGACTGAGCCTCAGCACTAGCACAGCCACGAGCTGATTCCAATACATCAGGGCGTGGCTGGACTAGATTTATCCTACTGCACGATCGCCGTATACATTGTAAGATGTAGTAACTAACTTTCCGACAATGTGATGGGATCAAAGGTGGCAATTATATGTACAGAATGTGATCAGTATGTTGATCTCTTCCTGAGAAGTTTCTCCTGGAACATTATCACTGGTCCCTCGGTCGTATCTGGCATGTACGTAGTCTTTCGAGTCCCTTTTGTTTACCATACAAGCGCTGGAATTTCTTCTGGGTGTCATCGCTTTCCATTGATTGGGTTTCTGGACCAGCAGGTGTGTTTGACATTTCTATGTGTCTGGAGCCTTCTGAGCCAGTGACAACAGTTGACGGTTCTTCTGGTATTGAGCCGTTGCCATCCGCTCCAGAAATTCCGTTCGTCTGAGCGGAACTTGCTATGGTGGCAGTCTTCGTAGCTCTCTGATGCTTTTTGGCACGAGCTTTCCACACTTGAAGACCATTGGCAACATCCGGAGAGAACACAGTAGTTTTCATGTGTGTGCCCATCTGCCATTGGTAGAAGTACAAATGAGTATTATCATAGGCAGGTAGTTGCAACCGGTACTACAGCTGGCATTCTGGACAGAAACTTAACATATAGCGAAAAAGAGTCTTGAAATAAGTAGGACAGGCGATTAGATTACTTGTGTGACGAGAGCGTAGATTGGCAAGGTACTGTAGCTCGCAAGAAGTTGCGTTAGTAACCTGTAGGTACCACAAGGTCGAACTTAGTTGTATCAAAAATTGCCAGAGAGTTGAGATAATTCAAGGGCACAATAACTTCGCAGGTGCTAACTGATCTGCTGGGTAGTAAAGCAAGGAAAAGAAACCCAATCCACGCCATAGAAGTCCTTTTCTCTCATGTTTACCTACCCACAAGTATGTACGGTTGCTTCTTAGAGTGTCATCTTTTGTCATCCTGTCCAATTACTTACTGGTGACATGGTCTGAGTCCGTGGTCTTCTCAATCTTACAGAGGACTCGGTGATGTTGTAAACCATTAAAACTGTTTCACCCTTTATATCTTCTTTACTGAAAGCTTTACGGACAATTCACTGTGTCCTCAATGATGATCAGAACTACATGGAAGAACTGACGTGAAATGTGAATCACTTACCCGACAACAAGTCGGACAATTAGAAGCGTGTGATTCCCAAGTATGCAGGAGTTCCAGCCAAATGTTGCCTGCATATACACGGCGCATAGGTCCAAATCTTCACTTATAGGCACCAGATTTGTTATCATACACTTTCTTTGACAAATGAGAGCGTACAAGCTGCACATTAGTTATTCCGTAACCAATACATTGACAAATCGAAGCATTAAGCACGAGTAGCACGGACCACATACCCAAAGCCAGAAGAAAACAGCGAGCTCGAAAGAGTTCTGCAGTCATGAAACACAGTCGTTGTCATTGTAGCGATGACAAATATTGCAAGCACACAAGGTGATGAAAATCAGCTGTGTGTGGAAATGAGCTCAGAATCTTACCTGAAAAATGACGAAGTGTATAAGTTTCAAGAGAACTTTCGGTCTCTCAAACCAAAATAGCTCATTGCTGGGAATTACGGCTTCCGCCATATCTTTACAAGTCATTGCTTGTTTCTCTGGGTCATCCTTCTGCCTATCGATAACCTCCAAAGCATGTCTCTTCGCTTGCAAAGCTAGGGTTGAGATTATATGCTGCTGCTTTGCTCCAATGACTAATATAATCTGCGCACAACAAACCACAGTCACGATTGCTTTTTCCCAGTATACTACTTTTGAGTAACTTTCTGGTGAAAATTGTCGATAGCCATGGGCCTCCCAAGACGCTACATCCGATTTCACTCAACAAGCCAATTGACGCTGTCTATTGCGTGAACAGGATAGTATGCGCCGCAACAATTAAAAAGGCTGTCCCTCGTGTCTACAAAAAGAATATAAGATCATGAAAGTTCATAGCTTACTAATGTGGGAATGAACGCTGCCCAGAAATAAGTATACCAGCCTGCAGAGATAATCATGAACCAATGAAAGTATCAGCGATATTCAGAGGATGGGGAGAGACCTACAAGGTGAAAAGGACCTCACGATTGCAGATCATAATCAACACGACTTGCATTTGTAACTTTGTCACCAACGCAAGAGGCTTACCATAAACATTAAAGAGCAGAAAGAGGATCACGAAGGCCCAGAGCCACCAGCTGTTTCACAGTCAAAGAAGAATTACTATGGAGCATGTGTCGTAAATTGTTTCGAATCCAGAAAAGAAAAATGCCACACAACTGCTACAGTGACTTCACCTGAATTATGGTTTTTTCAAGTCGCTTTTCAAAACCTCCTACATATACTAATCATCGATACTGCAACAAACCGAGGAACTACACTGACCTGATTCCGATAACAGATCTGAAGTCTACCTCCATGGATCGAATAACATAATCACGGAAGTTGAACGATTCGGTCAGTTGGTGACTCTGATAGCAAAAACGTACTAAAATTCGTCAGTTTACCACCTGAATATATTATCTTCGGCAGGTCAAGGGTACATACGGTCCTGCGTAAAATCAATGAAAAAGAAAGCTAGAGGATGAAGGACACTTACAGACAAAAATCCGACTCGAAATACCAGATAGTCTTCCCTTGAAACAGAGGCGAAGAATTGTTGAAAGAAGCAAAGCTGTCACACAAGAAGAGTTATGTACCACATTGTGAGTAAATCAACCGCTTCCAATAGTTGACATCAAGCCATTGTTTGACCAGTGAATGCGACCCCTAACTATTTCGAAGACTGTTAACTTAAAGATGCACAAAAGTAAAAATGAAGATAAAAAAGTCGAGTGGTGCTAAATAAGGATTTTAGCAACACTCGACTTATAGAAATTCGATTTGGAGTGGGGTGGACACGTACTATCCAGAGTGTAAAATTGTTTTCGTAACATGGATGAGAGTGTCTGTCAACAAATCCAAAGCCAGTAGCTTTGGGATTTTGAAGCTTGTCACAATATCTCTTCGTTAAATCTGCACATCATTGGAATGCATAAAATGAATATACAGAACCAGATCCACCAAAGTCGCTTCTAAGTTATTCACCACCAATCCTTCGGCATGAAGCATTTCCTTGGCAGCTACTAACAAGAGGAGGTGAGCTGACAGGTCTTCGATGAGACAAAATAGTTCTTACCCGCTTTGGTGCTGTAGTTCTCGGCTCTAGTTTCTTTCTCCCATCGTTGCCAGTGATGCAGCTAGTAAATTGAGAATTCATAACCAACGCTTTGTGAGTATTAGCAAAAGAAAGGCGTGTTTCTTGAATGGCCGTAGCGATCTGAAAGTGCATTGGGCAGCCTATGTTCCAAGAAGATGTATGAAGCAAGTAAGTTTAGGCTAGAACTTACTCTTGCGAATCCCAATAACACAGTCAAGAGGCTGTAAGTCACGTGAGTAATTGCCAACACAAAGATGAAGATGTGCAGTTGGTGCAGTCCGTCATAGGACACAAAAGAGTTTTTGCCCTGCAGCAGTACAAGTATCCATGAATGTTACAGCTTGCAAGAACATTCTGCTAAAAGCATATGCTGAAAGCTCCTACTATAGGAAGGCCTTGCACAGAAGCCTTATAGACGTTACAGAGTCATCAGATTTGACAATGAGGACGAATGGTGAAAAAATTGCTCCAACTGGCATCTGAAAACATGTCGGAGCTATTGGAGCTTGCCTTGTCTTTACAGTAAGTGCTACCACCTCCTGATAGCATTCGTCTGGAATCATAAGCATCCATCTCGAATAAGTCCAGCAGCCTTCTGTGAGCAGTAGTATCGGCCGCGGGAGCGTTTGCATCTGATGCAGCTAGCTCATGCCTTTCACAGGGCAGCATGTGACTTGCGAATGCGTCCGATACACAAATTTTAGTGATAGGATTCTGAAGAACCGTCAGCAACAAGGATATGAATCCAAGAAGCATCAACTCTGTAAACAAAATATTGAGACAAATTAGAAGGCAATCCTTTGCGTGAACTGAGCTAGAATTTTGATAATGCTTTCAAAGAGTTCCAGACGAGGCTAATCAGAGTTGTACGAGTTTATGCATTAAAGGCACAATTGGAGTTCCATGGAAGTATTCGCACCTTCGGTCAGTTTATCCAAAACCTTTCGCAGAGGTTTTTGATTCTTGGACTTCAAGTACTGCAAGAGAATGCATCCAAGCGGGTTGTTAAAGTATCGCCCAAGATCTTAACTTGCACTGTAATGAGGGATTTCGTGACAAGACATCAAAATCATAACCGAATTTGGGAGAAGATGTCGTAATAAAAATCCTTCAAATCCAAGCGGACGCCCTCAAACTGAAATCAAGAATGGTCTTTCTTACAGCAGGCAGGAATCGCTTGACTAAGAGGTGAGAATAGAAAGTTCTTGCGGACAAATATCAAATGGTGCAGAATACATAAACTGACGCTCACTACAAATCGATGCTTCGGAGTAATTCGGTTAAATCGTGTTTCTGCTCGTCTGTGACATAGTGCTTCCTTTTGCGGAGACCATGACTCTGAATTGCATGTATCCGGTATTCCAGCTGATAATCATCGTGGATAATGCTCAAGAGTATAGAACCCAACTATACTTCTACAACGCAGCTCTGGAGATCGGCCTACCTTTTTGAATTTGTGAATGAGCCGTTCGAGAGCTAGAGACGATGCAATAAAAGCAGCTGCTGCAATTGCCACCGCGTACGTCGGTGTATCCTCAAGACTCGTTTCATTTTCCCCATCACCCGCCATCTTCTTTCGAACTCAAAACACAAAGGAGATCACAGTTGTACAGAACTCAACCCTCTCTAGAGGACCTCCAGCCACCTGAACCCTTCAAATTCTAATCGGGTGAAACTAAATCTACGATCCTACTGTCGTCCTTCGTTTCTAATCTACGTCTGAGATGAGAGGAAATGCACGCGATTGAGTTTTTAGTCGGATGTCAAGGACGAGTCAGTTCGCCTTCAAGCTCTCTGACCAGAGAATCCATTGGGTTGCCTCAAGAGAAGCTCGTATAGTCCTGAATTGGCTCCCAGGTCTTGACTTCTCTCTAGCATCGAGCTCGAATTTTCGATCCGAGATCAGTCGGAGGATACTCTTAATGATCTATCAACTCATCCCAACAATGCACAGGTTCAGTTCAGCCCTTGACTTGCAATGCCTGGCAATGCGGCGCACGGCCACAGACGGTGTGTGTCTCAGTGTGCACGCTCTACAAGGTTGGCCCCAAAGATTGAGCTCTTTTCTAGTCCTGTCTGACGTTTTCTGGGCAATAAGTCCTGCAGACCATCACAACTGCACAATGCGAGATCAAAAAGAAGACTCATCCGCTTCGTAGGAGCCGCTATTGGAAAGGGTAGCCATCCACCTTTGGCTGTGTGCATCCGCTTCGATCTAAAGTAAACAGGCAAAACGATCGGCCCAAGGGTGACCTCAGCTCACCTTCCGCCAATGGCTCTAGCCTCGCGGTAAAGCCCAGAACCCAAAGTGCTGGGAACGCACATGTCTACGACGCATTGCCTAGGGGCATTATGTAGACTTAGATCGACGGACACAACGCGACGGGAAGTAAAATAACGAGCCGCAGCATATTAGACGCCCAGGCAGTCATACCTACGAGCACTAGTTGAGATACTCGTGTGGTGCGTGTCGAATGTATGGGATTCCAGCTGCCCAGACTGGAGGTCAGGCCAGAGATGGACTCATATGCTGACCGGAGTTAACGAGCTCTCGGATTGCGATCGTGCTGCGCTTCAAATCCGCTTAAAAGTAGACATTGTCTATGACCGATTCTTGGCACTTCTGCGAGCCCTTTTGCCCCCGGCAAAATTCACTCTGTGTACTGTGGGGAACTCCGTGGACTCCTGGCTCTTCTCATTAATTGTTCGTATTTTCGAGGCAAAATTGCCCGTTGTAAGTAGCAGTGAAGTCTGATGCGGTCCACAAAGCTTTGCCAGGCTCTGTCTACAGCAGCGTAGAACCACTTTCCAAATTTTATCGCCTCTCTTTAATGCCCTAGAGACGTACCAGTTTGACTGCTATCATGGTGCCACTTTTGGGCCCATGAGCCCAATTGGAACAAATGGCATCGGGCCCACCATCGTGTCTCCTTTAGCTCAGCTCAGCTCCGCTCTCGGTCCTAGAATTCTTGAGCCAGCCAGCGGAGCAGAGATGAGCATAAACTCGGCAAACACCCAATGCCATGGTTTCGAAAACTTGTATCGATGGGCTTCGTCCGTACGGCGGGCCCGCATTCACGACTTCGTGTGGCGCAGATGGTAGGCGGTGGGTCCAGGTCGGATTCCGCGATCATTTCGATCATGGTGTGATGTGAGCTAAGCTCAGCTGAGGCGAGCCGAGCTTGAAGCTCGAGGTGGCCGTCCGAGTCCTCTGCTTTGATTTTCCTTCGCTTCGAAGTTTACTGATTCCGATCCTCACAACAAAACAATGAATGACACACGCGCTTGCGAGCCACCTCCGCACTGCTCGACAGGGATTTCAGATTTACAAACGCGGATTCATCCACTGAACTGTTGACGATTATCGATCGTAAAGATTGATCTTTTTTTCTTCTAGTCCATATACCCCTCGCCCAGGTTTTGTGGTCTTCGGGTCTACTGGACGTAGGCCCAGCAGGGAATCTACGAACATATTTTTCTATTGGGCTAGTAGGGATCCATGAAGTAACCGGAAAGCCCTGAAAACTTTGCCCTCCAAAGATCTGGGCAGAATGAGGCCGATGACAAAGATGCAAATTTCTAAGATACAATGGATCATTCCTGCTTTGACTCCCACGGTGCTGCGAGTGTTTGTATGCATGCATGCACAGCCGAGGCTGGTCACGCGATGGTCCACTTCGCTTCTCGAGCGGGCGGTCCAGGATCGAACTCGACAGGCCGCAGCTCTGCTAGAATTCCTAGTCCTTTCAGGTAGGGCAGGCAGGAAGACTCGCGAGATTCCCTTCCCTCCCTTCTGCAGCCTCCGCCACCTCATTTTGCTGCTTGACCCGGTAATGGCTATGCCATCCTACAGGTCGGGCATCATGGAAGACCAGGAGGCTGCCAGTGGCATGCCAGACTTGGTCTAGGTCCAATGTGCGTGGGGGCGGCCTCTCTGTGGCATGGATGAGAGCATGGGTCGATCGATCGATCGATTGACCGACCGACTTCACTCTCCTGAGTCCTTTTCAATGGAGAAAGTATAGAATGTTGCTGGCACGGTACTGCTGCTGGCGGGGGCAGGCGACCGTACTCGTCCTTGGAAGTACGATGATGGACCGACATTCCAGCCGTTTTGTGGTCTACCCCTCCTCTTTTTTCTCTTTCGCGTCGCTACAACCATGAGATAGAACTTATGAAAGCAGGCTGGTGAAATCTGTTCTTAAATGGGCTTTCATTGAGGCCTGATTGCAGCTGATGTACAAACCCTCGTGTGCTGCCATGTCTTTCCGTGGCCCTCTTACGTAATGCAGTGAATATCGACAACGAGGTGAATAGAATCACGCATGTTCGTCATAATAATTGGAGCAATTTCGGTTTGCCTGTTTACTTGGTCCTGCTGGTTCTGGATTCAAAAGCAAACATTCTTGAGGCACATGACGCATGCTCTCTTGGCGTCAATGTGCCTTGGAATTTCTTCAAAACGTTGGGTTCCAACGAACAGTGATATCTGCTAACGAGATTTCAACGCCATTGCCCTCCTTTCTGGTGAAACGGAGAAAAAAATATGGAGAAATAAAGATGGTGTGTCTCGTTGTGGTGATCAGGCTAATCGTGGATGTTCAGTAATGAAAGACACCCGGCAAGACAATGTTCTGCTCTCTGCATAGCTAATCAGCACATGTATTTCTCGAGAACATGGATAACAGACTGGAAAAGCTCATCTACTAAGAGTGCCCCGCTCTTTCCTGTTCTTGTGTCAAACGATATTAGACACCAGTTCACTAGCATCTTCTTCTTTTCATCTTAGAGACTTTTGGTTCTGCAGTAGCATGGATCGAATTCAAAACGGAATCGTAGTCTTCTTTCCTGGCCCTGTGAAACTACAAGTAACTTGAGGAGAGTTTTCATGAAGGCTGTTCACTTTCGGCAGCAATCATGCAAAGTTTCGGGTCCATCACTTCTTTTGATGAAAAGCGTTAACTGCTCTTAAATGAACTCGTAAACATTCCTGCCTGGGACTCCTACGAGCTCTTTGCCCTTTGCATGTCCACTTCTTTTCTGGTGGTGCAGATCTGATTTCCATCCGCAGCGGAACTCCTTGAGGTGTACATGGAATCACATAATCCGATAAATCAGGATATGCATGAGGATTCCTCCCACAAGTCGTTACCATGCGAAAAAGAAGAAAAGAAAAGGTTAAGACTTCGACTCCAGCACGTATAGATCAGACGATCCAGATCTCTCCAGGACTATCAAATTTCCAGACTCCTTAGGTCCTACCGAGGAGCTTGAATCTGAGAACAGAGCAGAAGATTCCAAAGCGGGCGCACGCGCACACAAATTATCTGGCGAATAACCAATCAATAACGCCTGTTAAGATAGCACCGATCGGAAGACGATCCTGTAACTCCAATGACCCAGGTACATAAGATTTGCAAGAAGTACCTCGTACTGTCCCATCAGATTCAGCTGACAAGATTCTGACACTGGCAAACTAGGACGACCTCACCAGACGATATAGATCACGGTTATATGGACGACCCCGGAGCCGGTGGTTCCTCCGAGTTTGGTCATGGCAGTAAGCCAATGTCAAGCTTGGGCATTGCCAGCTCGGAATAGAGAAGGAAGATCCAAAACCAGTGGAAACTGCCACCAATTCGGGAAAGCTTCTCACGGCATTGCGACACTTGTCAATTTCACTTGGAAAACTCCCCGAGTCCTCGCTGTCCTCAGAAACCAACCCAACCAGATTCAGACAGCCCGTGATTCTGGAGCCTGAACTCACTCCCGCTAGAGTTAATACAGTGATATTTCCTAGTCACTACAGTGGAACCACTTCCTTCGATGAGCGCGGCCTGATAAGCGCGTGAGTGGACTCAAATCTCCTGTTTGGTTCTTGGGTCAGTGCGCTTGTTCTTTATTGCATCAAGCTCTTACACAACCCTGCCCTCTCTCACTAGTGGGGTGAATGGATGACTTCCTACGAACACATGCGCAGTGAAGTCCCACCAACCGTAATCCACTGGCTTTCTTCTTTCTTGAATGGACACTCCTATGTTGCAATCCTGCAGCTCCCAACGTTATTAGCAGCAGCTTGTACTATACAACAGCTACATTGTTGTTAATCATTCTAGTGTTGGTTCATACACGTAATTTTGTCTCTCACGTTTGAAGCTGCTGGAAACAGTGGCATTTGCCCTCCATTTGCCAAGGACTGTGCCCTCCAGTTGAATTCGATTCTGGCAAGTTGTTATGAATATGGCTACAATTGAAGTCACCCTCAATATGGACGAAAATCTCCGTGTTTATTTTCTCTCGGAGTCGTTCCCCACAGTCAAACATGATGTGGTCCATCCATCTTCTGTCTGAGTTGAGCATTAAGTGCATTCTGATCTTCTTTCGAGGGACAACTTAGTTGTCTTCTGTAGATCCTGCCCATTATGTCCTGATGACGAGGAGTTATGTCGACTCGCGTACATTAATGTCCACCCAAGTTAGGTTGAGCTCAACTTGCAATCAACTCAAGTCACTGAACGCGGGGTGTCGGTTTTTTCAATCAAAGCCATTGACACCGGTGCCCGACGATAAGAATTATTCAATTTAAAGGGGATCAAGTTGGTCCGTCAACAAACTCGTACTTCTTGTTCCGAAATGTAGTTCTTCGCAAAAGATTACCGAGCGTCTTCACACCGAAAACTTGAGCGAGAAGAGGCTGAAAGTATTCTGAGTGGGAAGAAAACTGTGGTCTTGCTTGATTTGACTTCGGGGACATCCGATATGGTCTTGGGCTTGTCCACGTGTTCTGAGGACGGAAAGTACCGAATACATCCAGCTTTATTTTTTGCTATCTAGATCCTTAACGGCAAGCTGAGATTTTTTACAACCTAACATAATTGTTACATATCACGTGAACCTTGTGGATTCTTACTTTTCATAGTAGACAGGAACAATGTGCACAATTGCAGTCTAGATGGAGATCTACAGCGGTCTGGCGAGGATGGCCCTAACGCCTCATCTAGGAGATCGTACTCGTCTAGGATGCGCCGAGCTGTTGATGTCCATACAACAAATTTATTTAAAAAACAAAAAGGTAACAAGGAAGAGAAATCACTAATTTTCCAAACTTCTAGTCATGTAGAAAAAATTTCGAGAATCTGGAATTACACGAGTTCTTACAGGAAGTCATTTGACGAAATGCTAGTAATGGTAATAGATCAAGCCCGGGTACCCAAAGAATCAAAAGGCTGCAAAACGCAATACAAACCAAAAACCACAAACAAGAAAAAAGACATCAAAGATCAATCTCTAACTAATGCCAAGAGTATTAGAAAGTTAATTGATGATGTACCTAATAAAACAACCTAAAGCAAAGGACTCTAATTGTAATTAAAAATTGTAAAATCTTAACATCTATATTATAAGCAAACCTAATCTCTTTGTACCTAGGACAAGTAATAAATACATATTTTTCATACTCAATATACTCAACTTCACATCATCTTCAAATACATTCACTACTATCAATATTCAACCAACGTAATTACTCAACTCCAAGCCTACGAGATCCAATTCTATACCTAGCTATAATAAGACTTAAGAAGTAGAGATTACTCCAAGAGAGTATTCATGGTCACAATAAACAAGCATAGGATTCACATGAAGTCAATAAAACTACATCTTGGTGTCTCGTTTGCTACAAATCATGTTGAGAAACTCATTCTTTGGACGCTCGCGGAGTGCCATAGGTTGCAAATACCAAGTGTGTTCCGCCACATTACACCTCAAAGACCAAGTTATCACATCCGCTACCCATCCTTAAAACATGTAACACACAAAGCTTGAAGAGTAAAGCTAGAAGCATCAAGAGATTTCACCATTGTGATGTAAATGATGGTCAAGTATAGAGCTTCAGTGTTTAGAGTTAGACATCATGTTTCCACAAGAAAAACTGGAACTCATAGAAGAACCTGATTTTGCAAAGTGGATTTCTAAGTTTTCCCTCTCATCTCTCATTTATCTAAACGATGAGAAGTCACTTCACCTCATGAAAATATACTACATGAACATTTGCATAATTATCATAACATTGTCTTTTATCTTATAAATATTATTGTACACTGATGATGTGGGAAGAGAATTGAATATAGATGATCTAAATTAAAGTTACAAAAAATGTGAAGTTGAAATCATATCAATTTTCATAGAATTATATTTTCTCACGTATTTTTACAACAAAAATTTCAAAGTCAAGATGTGAAATTTCTCATGAATCCAAAGCTAGCAGGTAGTAAAATACTCTATATGTAGAATAGGTTTTTTTCCCATTCATCTCACCATCTATCCATACAAATGAATAATGAATAATCATTTTTAAAAAATATGCCATATATAGTAATTATAGTCATAAACATCTCTAAGCAATGACATATACACATTGATTCCAAGTTTTGATAATAAACATAATACATATGAATAAAGAAGCGACTAGTTATAACTATGTTTAGGCTAAATATCTCTCATCCTACCATAACCTTGGAGCTTCAACCTATCCGTGTCAATTTAGATCTCTGGCTAATCTTCCAGTTTTGTTTGTGATTCAAATACTATGAGGACCGACCAAACACTTGGGCCTGTTTTCCGGTGAGTTTCCTGGTGACTACGGTTGCAACACCGTCGGACTATCTGCCGAACCCGAGACCTTCGCTAAGAACCCAGAGCTGGAGGTGATCCACGCTGGGCCATGTTGGGAGCTTTGGGATGTGTTACCCCCGAGCTGTTGGCCAAGAAAGGAGTGAAGTTCGGCGAGACAATTTAGTTCAAGGTTGGATCTCATATCTTCTCAGGGTGGTCTTGACTACCTCCGTAACTCTAGCCTCGTCCATGCGCAGAGCATTCTGGCCATTTGGGCTGCCAGGTCTTGCTCATGGGAGCCATTGAGGCATATAGAGTGGCGGGAGGATACCTAGGAGAAGTGAGTGACTCGATCTACCGAGAGGTCAATTCGACCCCTGAACTTGGTGGAGGACCTCAACACCTTTGTCGACCTGAAGGTGAAGGAGCTGAAGAATATAACGCTGGTGATGATTTCCATGTTCGGATTCTTCCTTCAAACTATTGTCACCGGCAAGGGCCTGATCTAGAAATTGTTCGACCTTATCACTCATACTAGTATAACTATACTAGGGTTAAATAGGCTAAACTGAATGATAATTAGCTCCCATGAATAACTTGGTATGTTCATGAACGAGAACTGAATGGAACCTTTGCAATGTTATTAGATATACAGAGCGCCTATGGTTGCAACTGTTACGAAAGTACAACTATAAGCCAATTCGTTATAGGCGGATGGATTTGACCAGGGTACTTACCAAATATTATGTAGAACTCCTGTAATTGTACGGTTTACACACACTTTCTAAGGTTCTACTAAAGCAAGAACTGAAAACATTATGGGTGTTCTGTTTTGACTGACACCGACATGAGGATTTTTTAACCTTATATTTGTTGGTACGGATCCCTTCAAACGTAAGTCCCGAACAGGCGGCTCCAGCCGCCTGTGATTCAAGCAAATTTAGCCATGACATTCCGCTATGTTATAATTGGATCTTTACATAGTTATGGCATGAGTCTAGACTGGTCTACGCAGACAGAGCAAGGCAGTATGGTTAGAAATTTGTTTTGTCAAAATTACGACTATTCCTACACTCGCTAATGTTGATACTCCATTTTGATATCTAGGTCACCTTTTCTACTTTTTGACTATGAAAACATACCTAGCCAAAAAAGGTTGGGAGTATATAGCCATGTGCATGGCTGCTAAATTTGCCAATATATATCCATAGTTGCGTTCTTCAAGCTTCTCCTTACTTACTTGATACGAAAAGGAATACAATAGACTTGACATCTTGATGCTGTCTACCATATTATTTCGGATACCGTCGTTGGAGCTTCCTTCGGTTTAGAGTCTTCAAAGCTACAGTAAAGTTGATCACTGCAACCCGATTGAAGGCAAAGGGGACGTGTAGGAAATGGATGTGGACTCTTTCCTAGTCTCACCATCAGCACGAGGATGCATTTGTCGGCTTCGTGCCTATAACATCAATTTCTTCAGCTTCTCAACCTCAGATACTTCTACCTATGCCTATAACATCCATTTCTTCAGCTTCTCAACCTCAGATACTTCTACCTATGTAAAAATATTTTCATTATCTCCATCTCACATCGTCAATTTGAATATCATATCACCAGCTTCCTCAAGATTACAGGATGGTCATTTCTCTCCGGCTTGAAGGCGATGTGGTTTGTATTGGTTTGACATTGGAGAATCTAAATGCTGATCTCTCTGCTCTCCACCAAATACGTCATGACTTGTCGCCCTAACCTGAGCAGATGTGACAACCTTGCCCATTTCATAGGCATGATCTTAGGTCTCTTTCAACACAATCTTAGCTTCGGCCGCTGCTGTTATAGAGAACAGAGTTAATGAAATGACTCGCTCTTGGATATGCTTCTTCAACTTCTCCTACTCCTACTCGGATTCCTGTCTTGGATACTCAAACTATTCGAGATCCCTTTTGAACTCAACATAAGAATGCAACAAAAGTAACTTTTTACCCGCTCCTTTCGTCGTCCTTCAGACTTTCGTCCTTCAGGTCGCTGCTGAGTATATTCTTATCATCTTAAAACCGTCATTAATGTACGTCCATTATTCTCAAGTGGTTCGATACACACAATCTCTAGCAAGTTGGTGCAGCAGAAGCACTCAAATGCTCGGCGGACATGATTAGAATGTGAGATGGGCCCAAGTTATATAGCCAAATTGAAGACGGCATCGATTGGTAGAGCGATAAGACCATATGGGTAACATGGGCTATACTTCAATATCATCGCAATGTCAAATACTCCATGATTGATGTAGTAAAGTTATCGTTTAGGACCTCATGCTGATGTCACGGAGAAGAGAAACATACGTCGAGGGTAACATCAAACCAGATCTGAATACTTATGTTTCGATTCACCTGGTTTGTCAATTTAGAACATGCAAATGTTGTCGAAATCTACATCATCCTTGACTGCAAAATCAGTCAATGTATATTATATGGAAAAAGTGATATGAAAAACGTTCAACTTAATCAGAACTACATCGAGGGAACTCTCAACATCATGGCATATCTTTCTATTTAAACGAATTATCTTTTTATCCCAACCTGGACCTTAGTTCTAGTTTGACTCCTGCTGCCTCGAGAGGTGATCCTTCAACGAATATATACATCCCAAAGTACAACTTGCACATGAACATACTATAAAATAAAGATTGCATTCAATCTAAATGTATTTCGAGCTTCCAATACTTCTTTTTTTTTCACTGTGTAATTTTATTGTAAAAAAACTCTTGACCAAATTTTACAATTTCAAAGCAAAGCACAATCTAATTCCAACATTGATTTCGGCTATTGTATCTCTCTAATTAAATTTTAATGCCGCTGCATGTTTTGAAAACTATTATGAATGTACATAATTCATACATTGACATCAAATTAAGTTAGATTAAATTGTCAATAATAACATAATGGATCATAGTTGCAATTATTTGTAATCGATTAACTTGATGCTAATTATGTCAAATATGCTAACATAATGTCAAACTCAAATCTAATGATGCTACAATGCTAGTTTTAGGTTTGCAATCATATCATGCAAACTTTAAATGAAATATTCTTCTACTTGCATGTAAAAAATCTTCTCTAATTATTTACAGTTAAACACAACATCTCATTTTTTAAAACTTAAGTTCCATGAATTATTATTGATTTATAGATTTATATGACTGTATAGAACAATGATAACTATCAATGCATACTATTAGCAATATATGTTATCAACCTAGATACTGCAGATTTAAAAATATTATAGTGGTATGATTGTAGTAATATTTTCATATGCTATGATATAAACTTTATATTGAATTGTACTTTTAAAAAATATGATATCAAATGCGTCAAATCCATCTTGATATAACTTTGAACATGAGTAGTGAAAAACAACACACACATATAAATAAGTAAATTAAAATCATTACTTTTTTATCAAATTGAAATTTTTCTTAATCAACATAAATTTAAATTTAAAAAATCTATTTAAAATTTTAATATGTACACTATTACAAATATATATTCCTATAATTTTTTCAATATAATATATTCCAAGAATCATTTAAAGAATGATATAAATCAAGCACTCATATTTATTGATTTTATACTTATTATTTAATTTTTTCAACATTTATTTTATGTATGGATATTTAGATTAATCACTTTGTTTTGAATTCAAGATGAATCATCAAAAAATTATATTGATATCAATTTTGGTATCTACTGATACTTGGTTTTGGAATTGATTTCCTGGATAGATTTAGGTAAAGTGTATGATGATTTTGGTAATGGTTGGAAATAAGAATGTCACATTTGAAAGATTTGACACATATGATTTTGAAATTGTTATCATAAAGGAAATCAAAATGAAAAAGAAAAAAGAAGAATAATCAAAGTTATTTTTTTAAATAATTATGTGATTTTACTTTGAATAAAGAAAGAAAAAAAGACTAAATTTTAAAAACCAAAAATCATCAGAATTAAATTTCAATATGAATCAACAAATAGATCATAAGTATGATTATAAACTATAATAAACTTTGTGTGATAAAGTTTCAACAACCCATAGCAATCAAAAGTATTCAGAAATTTTTTCTAAAAAAATCCCAAATATATATCAGAATCTAATTTTTTCCATATTTTTTAAATTAATGGAATAAATTCTGTTATTACTGAGATTTGTCAAAAATCTGAAATATTATATAAATATAAATATATATATATAGATAAAAGTTATTTAGATATTATCTGTGATATAAATTATAATGGATTATATTCTTACAATTAAATCAGAAATATGAATCATAATCATTTTCTATTGTTTTACTTCATTACATGTTATGACTTTATATTATTTTATAATTTGAAAGAATTTTTTTTGAGTTTTAATCTCTGGAATAATTTTTAATTTGTATTTATAATATTGATAAAAATTGATTCAAGTTAAATTTGATTTTGTATATCACATTGGAGTTTTAAAGTTTATGACTCTAGTTCGTGTCTTTTTTTTCTGATATGAAATTTATTTTATATATATTTTGATAATTTATAAATTTTTTTATCATAATATTTATTAACTCTTTCATGTTAATCATGATTAAATTTAACAACATTTCCATACATTTCCATACACTATGTACGTACTTTTTTTTCTTCCAGATACAAAATTTTATCTCTAAAGCTTTGGAATTGTCCCACTGGAAATTCTGACTCGGTAGCAGCTTAACCGGCGGTTCGCGCCACTCACTACTGCGAAGGTGGGTTGTGAAAGTTTTCCTAGATGCGATTCTACAATCGTCGGCGACCTCCACGCGGAGCGCAGGAGCCAGGAATTTGTGGACGGCCAGCAGCAGCTGAAAGTATGTCTAATGCCGCAGGTCGAACTCCTGTTCTCGTATTATTCGGTCTATAAACGGCCAACCATGTCACAAGTTCTTATAAGGCTCCACCAGATCAGGTCCTTGGAGGCATTTGCTGTTTATGAACAGTGGCCGCAAACTGAGATCGACGAATTGTTTGAATTGACAGATTGTTACAGTACAAGGCGCCTGCTGATGTTGATGAGCTTACAAGAGGTGCGATCTGAATCTGTGACCCTTCCTGTAACTCCTGCTCCGGGGCCACGGACCGTCTTCGAGATTCCTGTGCCTCAGTGCGATGTGATATTTTTCCGATTTGATTCAGTTTATGCGCAGTCCAGTTGTACTTTGGAAGATTTCAGAGTCCTTCATCAGGTTTCATTGATAGTGGCTTGCATAATTAGATGCATAATTCCAATGCTCTAGTTATCATGTCATTCCGTTCAGAAGGATAGTGAAGTTCGTGACTCAAAAGTAGGGAAGGAATCTGAATCGGTTGTCAATGTCTTCTTTGCAGTCGATGAGAGAAGCAAATCTTGCTGTCCTGAGGCTGAAAGCCATTCTGAACTATCGCCTTTCGTAAACTTCCGGATGAAAGTGTGAAGAAGAACTCGTGTACAACATCTTCTTTTCTGAAATAACAAAGCAGTGAAGACTTGCACTTGTAGCAGCTGGAGAGCGTGATCGCAGTAACGGGATAGATATACAAGGTTAGATATGTCTAGTGCCCTAGACATATCTAAGTACAACCTATGGACCTCATAAGTACAACCTGGACCATCATCAAAAGCTGCTCAGCAGCAAAAACTAAATATCCGGCCTCTCTACGCTACAAGCTGGAGTCGCTTGCAGTATTGCAGTTGCTCTCCTCATAGAGCAGCCATGGTAGTTGTACATAACGTATGACAGGACTGATCCCCCACCGTCGTGGAACAAACGCATCACGAAACACCACCCATGTGCCCCGCCAGCGACACTTGTGGAGATAATTATGAAATGTGAAAGTAAATTCAACCTATTCGTCCGTGATAGTTTCTGAAGAGTCTCCTTACTATGAGGATGAATAAGCTTACAGTGGAACTAAAACAAAGTGTGTCAACATTGTTTATTGAGGTTAGATTGGAATGACTTGTATTAATGAGGACGAAGCGAGGAAGCCTCGGGAGAATCTCTTCAAACGGCCGTATGGATGTGTACATAAATCTTGGATTCAACTTTATCGACTCACATTTGGTATGGTAGAGAGAAGAGAATATTTTACCAAATGTACGGTATTTATGAGTACTGTATTCAATTTTTCAATTTGTAAATCAGTCGAGTATCAATGCAATCATACTCGTTAAAACAATGTGGAAGCATGTGAACTGGTGAAGTGGTCAGCTTTCACTTTTGTGAGCTGGAAAATCAAAGAGCTTTCGTCGTCAAGTCGAAATGCTCAAATACACGAATCTGATATGACAATCGGTAGAAAGATTCTTAACGCTGAGTTAAGTTTCTGCTTCCTTCCAGTTCTTAAAGTGATCGGCCCTTCCTTTCTCACTTTACCTTCGCGCGCGGTTTGTATCTTTCTGGATGGTGTCGGCGATCTTTCACTTTATCGAGGAAATGAAAAGGACCATGGTGGCAGCTTTCTCTTCCTCGATAAAGTGTACATTCTGGGGAGTCAAGTCTCCCTATTGATTCATTTTCCCCTTGGCTAGCGACACCTTCTGCCACAAGGGAAGCCACTTCGAAGAGTTGTTCTAACTTGACGGGGACTCGACAAGCCTTTTGCAGCAACGGTTGACGTGACAAAAAGTTCCAACTGACAAAATTTGCTAGACTAACTTGTGTAATCTATATAAAGAATCAGAACGTAGAACATTGCATTCAGACCGAACGGTTGAACTAGTGAGCGAAAGCCCCAAGCCCTCTGTATAATACGAAGCAAAAAATGCTAGTGCTTAACGTCATGATCAGAAGCGTTCGGCATATTTCAGATACAGGGAGGCAAGATCACCATGGGTTGGATCGCGTGCATGTTCACATCTGCGTGCATTCGCTCGTTCCTGGACCCATCAATAAACCTGAGCAGTCCACATGGACAGGCGGCCATTTCAGTTCACCAGTTCACGTGTGTAATGCAGAGCTCATGTTTTTGAAAGGATCAGTGCCTAAATATGACTGAGACACTCAAATATCATGTCTATCGCATCGGGCCAAAGTAATGTTGTCCCTTCATCGTCAGCCAGCTTGGAGACTCCATGAGATCCAGGAGATGGCAAAGGTGGAGTTAGTGGGGCAAAGGGTACATGGCTTCTTGGGCTGCGTCAGAGAAAATGAACCGTCAAGATAGAGCTACTCTGCTAAGGATACTGCTTCCGTAGGAGATCTGAGTCCGGCGCCATGACTCAACTGGAAGAATTCTCACACCCAGAAATCATTACCGCCACGAGGAATTTCTCGGAGGACCTGATCATCGGCCGGAGCAAAAAGCAATGGCTGTACAAAGCTTCCATTCCCAAATTCTGCCAGGGCTTCGTCGTCGTCAAGAGGTTCTTGGAGTCGAAGCGCACGAATTTACATGCGATGGTGGAAGAGGTGAAGATCCACCGCAGCATGGAAGATCGTCCGAGTCCTTACATACTGAAGCTCCTCGGTTACTGCGCCGAAGACAAGGACCCTCTGCTAATATACGAGTACGAATCGCCGGGCGACAAGACCTTGGCGCAGTGCCTGCAGCAGGATACGCTGGAATGGAGCAGCAGGCTCAAAATCGCAACCAACATCGCCTCAGCGATCGAAACCCTACACGGAGCGGACGACAGATTCGCCAATGTGTCGGTCTACCTTCGAAATTTGCAGTCGGATGATATCCTCCTCGACAGGATGAAGAAGCCCAAAATCGCGGATTTTAGCAGCGGCATCGTCATGCCGACCTCCGCCAACTGCAAGAATTACAGCAGCACCATCAGGCCGGGCCTCGCCATCGGCCCCACCGTGTACATCGATCCTTACTACATGAAGACGGGCCAACTTTCGGAGAAGACGGACGTGTACAGCTTCGGTGTGATGCTCATGGAGCTCGTCACTAGCATGATCGCCAGCGACACCTTCCCATCGACCGCCTTCGGCTCACACAAGAATCTGGTAAGTCTCATCACGGAGACGGTCCACCTCGGAACGTTGTTCGAGCACGACATCGTGGATCCTTCTTTCGACTCTTCTCAATCGTGCCGTGACAGCATTTTAGCTGTCGCCAATCTCGCTACCAAGTGCTGCGCTTCCAATCCCCGCAGCAGACCTTCCATAAGTGCTGTCCGGAGAGAGCTGGAGGTGATCATGATGAACTACTTCCAGTTGCCTCTGACTACAATTTTGAACGGCAACAAGCCCCAGCATCCTCACAAGGGCTTGAATTCCCAGCAGCTCTATGACATGATGACGCAGCGCTATAAGATTATGTCCTCAATTAGCAACTTCTCCATCTGACAGTTGCCAGTATTCCTCTGAGTCGGACCACAAAACCCGGTGCGGAAACTTTACTCTTGATTCGGATGATACGTCCTAACCAGTTTCGAAGATTTTGGGGACTTTGTTTGTTGATGGTGGAATAATCACCTTCTTCTACCAATTTACAGCATATTAGATTTGATTTGGCTAAATTTCTGCCTTCCCATCCTATACGGCCTACGAATTTTTCGATTCATCATGTTTAGAGTTCCCTGTCTCATGTAAATCTGAAAAAATCTCGCAGCGAGACTACCCAATTTGTTTGATTGCGTGTTGACGCAAGTTTCCATCTACCTTCGGAGTGGACACCTGCCCATGATATATCAATTGCGTTACCCAGCTTTGAAAGCAATTTAGTAACCACATCCGCTTGCGTAGCACGCGGATGTGGTTCCAAATTTTTTTTGGAGAATTCTCTCAATCCCTTAACATTGACAGTTACGGTCTTGAACACTTAATGTCATTTCACCTGACTGCGGGGTAACGAAAATTAGAGCAAGTATTCTCAAGAATGAGAATACAAGTTCAAAAAAGTTACCATGTTTCTGTTATTAGAGCGACCTGTACCTGCTCAGATGTGGACGACAAATTTTCGGGGTACAACGAACTCTCTTACAGGGGCAAAGCGATCCTGATCTAATGTGTTAATAATAGGACGAGGAGTCGCTACTACATCAACCCAAAGGTGAAGCGCTGAGGTACGCACTTTTCATCATAAATTAGAATTCTCCGAATCCTTTAGTACTAGTTAGACTTTATCTCCGTATGCCTATATTTGTAAGTATGGTACAGCCTAATACTTACGATAGTCTCTACGTAGCATTCTGAATAAGGCGTCTATCTCTTACCATCATAGCCTTCAAAATATGCGAAGTGAGAAACCAATATACTAAGGGTGTTATTCGGGATCTCTCCTTGAAGACAACTCACGTCCCACCAAGATCTTCCACTTGCCAAAGTTGATGAAAGAAGTGTGTACTTTACAGTTATATAGTGGCCTTTCTAAACTGCTCTAAGTAACAAAAGAATGAGGTGACATCGGCCCTGGTAACATGTGTGTCAATCATAGGGATTTAAAGCTCCACCCTAGGCCGCAACAGTCTGTTTGGACTTTTGTAGTTCGTTCTGGACATTCCACAAACCTGACGGAATAGTTCCCAGAAATCGTCGATGACTTGGAAGACAACTCATCTATACCAAATAGAAACAAGGCCAAATATGCCCAACACATCCAATCGAAATCCTGGCGTTGCAGGTTTGTTCCCGGAGTCCTCCAGCCGGCATTCAACTTGAACACACTAATATTTCAAATCTGACACTTCAGGAGTACTCAGACGCGGAGCAGTAGAACATATCCAGCACACTGGAAGAAAGGTAGTCTTCACGTTGCGCTTCTTAAAACGTGGAGATGCTCTACAGAGCAGTATTAGAGCAATCAGCACTAGAATCAATCCGATGCTTAATGACTGGCAACCAGACCTGACACACTACTCCAACGTATCTACCCTTCGTACTTATACTTGTGTAAGGCAAAGAAGATCACTACCATAAAGTACGTAAGGTCCAACGATTGCTCAACAACAACTTGCACAAAAATCTCCCGCCACCATTCTGATTCTCCATGTGGCCGCAGCTATTGATCTATGAACAACTAACTGTTCACAGTCCTCATCCAAGAGATCTATTACCTCCTGTCTCCCATATAACGCAAGAGAGCGGTCAACAGAAACTCCTTCCCAGATCATTCTCCAAGAATCCAATCACCACACAACTAACTGTAAGTTACCCATCTGGACTCGTCATTTTACTGTCTACTATTCTTCAGCTTTTCAGTCCAATGCTACGAACAAATGTCAAACATATATCATGCTTGCACGAAACAAAAACATAAGGCAACAAAAAAGGGAAGGAGGCATTGTGTTAAAAACGAACAGTACAAATATGAAGGGTGAGCAGGGACAAAATACTGAAATTTGTAGCAATCAGATACAAAAAAACTACATGTAGTCAAGGAAGAACGAGATTTGCAAATAAGAAAATCCTAATTCCAGCATCAGCTACATGCAGTATGGCATTCAAGGTGTGAACTATACTGATAATGCATACAGAAGTCCAGGAACCATTTACAACCTCACAGCGATAAGCATCAACGGTAGAAGTACACTCAGCTATACTGATGTAGTCTTAACCAGGCTGGATGTAATCATCAGTCAACCAGAGTATTTCGCTTCACATTTCGCGGATATTACTTGAACACAGAAGAAATCAGCGTACTTCTGAGGAGATGAAGGGCCGGTCAAAGGGCTTGTGAACAGCAGTATTACGGTGCGCACACAAACTACAGATTTCTATGTTATGTTCAAAAGTAACGTATTGACGGTAAAATAGGCAACAAAAAGAAGCCCTGTGAAAATTGGAAACACTCATTCACATCGGCCACGGAGGCCATCGAGATCACCAGAGTAGCACTGAGAAAGATTTGCATATAAGCGTCAAAACCATGATTCTAGCAACCACTCAACCAGGCTACTGCACTTCGTCGAAATTTCCATACTAAAGTAATCCCTTCAGCTGCGTTGCAAATAAGAAATGTAGAATTTAAATCCGACTACTAGCGAGTATTAAAAACGTGAATTTCACGCTTTTACCACCAGCCGCTATATGCATTTTAAGGCACATTGAGATGGATGCATGCACTGCACCCTTTACATGGAGAAGAAAAATTAACAGCGTGAAAGTCCCTGACGATCATTTTATTCACAATAGAAGAAGTGTAATAAATAAGATTGGAACACAAATTGCCTAATTGAGCCCTCTTCGCATGCAGATTGTCGTCAACTACCCTTCCTCGCCATCCGATCTAGACTCTAGAGGGTGACTGGAGCAATCAGAAACTAGGGTTACACACTAAGATAGAGGTACTCCACCTCCTGAGAACTCAACATTAGTAGGTGGCGCAAGAGTGGAAACCCAATCGGATGCGTGCGTCGGTAAAAGACCAAGTGAATTGAGCTTCCAGAGACCCAGACCTAAACCTGCAAAATTCATGGCAATAAAGAGCAGCTTCGGCAACAGAGTATCCGTTCGGGCATCTTTGAAGGGTTCAAAAGTTTTATTTACCGCCTGAAGGGCACTGATTGGCTGCCAAAGTGCTGAGAAGGTGATTCCAATGCTAAAGAGATGCACGGTGTTACCCGCCATCCACATCATAAACCCTATCATAAACAGGTTCTTGAACGGTGCTTGCGCGGTTTCCCATGCTTTGGCCTGCTTAAAGTTGGCATCGATTTCCTTCTTCGCCTTCCCTGGAGCGCTCTCCTCTAATTCCAACGATGTGCGAGAATAACCGAGTGGATCGGGCACATCTCTTATCGACGACGATGGAGCGGAATCACAGAGCTCCACGGCCCATTTCCGTCCTCCCGAAGCTCCTCGTGCCGAACTCCTCTCCATCCTCCCCTCCCCTCAGAGAAGGTAAGAAAGGCTGAAGCTTATCGTGCAAGACGATCCACGAAAGGAACGATAAACGCCCTAGGCCACTTCTTCTTCTTCTTCCCTGCAGCGACAACAGCAGCAGATACACTCGAAATGAAGTCGATCGATCGAACGACTGATTGCTCGCTGCGTTTGGCGAAATTTGTGACTATTACTTGACGAGACTGTTTGTCTGTCGATTCCCGTCGTCCTCTGTCTGCTTCGCTCCGTCCTTCTGAGTTCCGTCCTCGTCCTCGACGCAAGGACGTGATGCTGCGTCCTTGCGTAAAGTGCAGAAGTGGACGAAGATACGGTCCCTCTGCTTCCGGATGCTCTCGCTCCCTGCTCAGTGCTGCTACTCAGTGCCGGTACAGAGACATGCTGCCCAAGCCCACTTGGGCAACCAGATTATTTTGATCCGCCCATGTCTTCTATTCTATCTTGCCTCAGCGTCTCGAAACTGTCTGCATTTGTGTCCAAACAATGGACTTTTAGTAAGGGAAGTCCTGTGAGAGATGCACCAACAAGAGAATTCAAAGTAATCAATTAAATGGTTTATACTTCACTACATTTGTTCTCAATGTCAAGCTCGGTGTACATGCAAGTACTTTTAGAAGGGCTTCTCTGTTTTGTGACGAATTTCTTTCAGTATATATACAGCTATTTTTACCTCCTCTGATCATGCACTACACATATGCTGTTTGAAAAAGCGGGGGGAAGTAGATATATATACATATATATGAATCTACACTCCCGTTTTTAGAAGGGTATCTTGTGTATTGTCACATTCATTGCATTCATAAACGCATTCAAAATCAATTCCGGATTAGTCACAACCATCACCCCTTTTACAGTTTATCCTCCAAAACGAACATCCATATCCTCGCCACGCAAACCCCGAAAACAACCTTTAATTTCTTATTGCCAACTAACACCCTCTTCTTACGTCGCAAATTACCCTAAGAATAAAGATAAAGACTATATAAACCGAACCAACCAAACACTGACCATATTCATCTTTCGTAATACTTGGCTAACATTGAAAATTTATGACTGGAAACAGAATTTTAATTTAGGATTACTATTATATCCCAGGAATAATCAAACATATCATTTTATACATTACATTTAATTTTTCGAAGAGGAATTTGATAATTAAAAACAATGATTTTAATTAGAAAATATGAAAGCTTTAATATTATTTATTATAGCGTATTATATTTTCAATAGATTATATTATTTAGTTTTATCATTCCAAAAATGTATCTGTTAGATTAAATTTTTGAAAGATTCAAAAAGACTTGAGTGTAAATAAAAAACATGTATGATTTCTTATAAAGCTTTTCATATAAAAATTATTTGTATTAGCTTGATGTAAACGTTTTTTCAATCATAATTATTGAAATTGGAGAATTTAGCCATTAACATCTTGTTTTTTTTTTTAAAATTTACTTGCCTCTAACTCATATTTGATTATATGATATATACTAACTCTAAACTTCAACATTATGATTGGTTACTTTCAATTGTAGAGGTATTATCTTGTATTTTTTATTCAAATAAATCTTGTTTTCTACTCACATTGATATTGGTAGCGTATTTCACCTTAGCTTGAAACTCTTTTATAAATTTCATTACTTCATAAGTTTCAAGATCAACTCGTGTCAAGTGCCCCAAACCAAAAAACTCTATGGAATTTGAAAAACCTTATACTTCCGCATTCAGGTTTAAATCTAAATCATCATGTTTGATTTAATAATAACTATGTATAAAATATCTTTATTGCTCGTGTATCAATTGGCTTGTCTACTCATACTAGACAAGCTATGGACTTGAAAAAATCTTATACTTTCAAGTTTCAGGTTTACACTAAATCAATCATCTAAAGTAGGTATTGACAAGGTAGGGTTAAAGGATATCGTGTAATGCATGGGCTTTTACCATTTCCTTACCCTCATCAACGAGGTCTACTTTTACCTTTAGCTTTATCTAATGATAATTAACCCATCTACTTGATAGACATTTTCTATAAAAATATAAGTACTAGTGCACCGCTTCCGAATGAGACACATAACGACTCTGATTTTAGTCAAATTCTTTTAGATTCGTGTTTGGCATTAAAGACAATGTCGGAAAATTGGAAGTGTAACATGGCAATGACACCATCTTAGAGATCTTCTCATTCTAGCCGCCTTGCTTCTCCTCAAGCTGCTCAACGATCAACTCCAAATTATTTTTCTCGCTTTCAGCTAGGACAACCCTGGCCGTTGCTTCCCGATGCGCCGACACTTTGAGTATACGCACATTCATCAACAAGCTGAGTCACGTGAACATGATGGATAATGACGATGGCAGCAACTGCTGCGTACACGTGAATTCACGACCGGTCGCGTTGTTCACGCGCTCTAATGGCTTTGACGTCGCCTATGTCCCCAGATAGTCCATTGCCATCTGGTAGTGACCCGACATTGCATACTTTCGAGCCGATCACCACGAAAAGACATTGATGAAACTTGGGTCATGAACAACATCGATCGACCTCGTCGTCAATTCCACAGTTGACTTTATGTGGTTGAAACATAGCGGCCAAAAGAGAGTTTATGATGCTTCCGGCGGCTAGTCGTTGCTCTTGTTCGACATGATCTGAATAACGGCGTTGAAGTATGTTGCGTACGATTTTAGTAACGATCATCAACTCGGCCTGGTCGGTCGGCTTTTGGATTTGGAGTTTAGATACGATGCGATAATGATTGGTTATTAAACCAGCTTCTGCTCATATGATTGCAACTTCATCTTCATGGAAATCGTCTTTTTTTCGCCGTCAGCGCAATGTGTATTCTTGCAGGTGTTGCTAGCCGTCGTCGCAATGCTTGATCAACATGACGACGGACAATGCCACCATGTCAAACATCAACATCGCAAGGCTCTCCATGACATGCCGCGGTGCGTGAAGGAAACTCGACACGTAGACAATCACTTGCCACTCAGAATCTTGAAGAGCCTCGTGATCAATGTTGTCTTCGTATTGGTACATGATCGTATACACAACGTCGCGCTTGCAAAAAGCGTCGTCAAACATTTGATGAGTCAAGTTCCATGTCGTTGGAGAGTATGTATGCATCGACTCCGTGGTGCTCAAACCAAAGCGCAAGACCTCAATCCGATATTGTTGCCTGATGACTTTAATGCGACAAATCTTATTCAAACCGTCCCGTAGCTGCTCGATGAGGTGACAAATGAGGTTCAAGATTTGCAGCACCGCGAGCTGGACAGAATGGTCGACGCACCGGACGTGATTGCACTTGCGCAGTTGCTCGTAGCCAACAAAAGCATGCACGAGCTGTAAGAGCTGCACAATTGCGCTTGTCGCGTCCTATCCATTATTGCCAGTGATGACAAGAACGCGCGTGACAACATCTCGGGCCAAACGCTTCAAGTTTTGAACAAGGCTATCGCGATGCGCATGCCAACACTAGTACGCACTTGACATCTAGATCGTTAGCAAAATGCTCTTGGCCTTCAGCGTGAAGACGTCATATAGTGAGCAATGACAACGTAGACTTGCTTCACATTCCAGTTAGATCAACCGTTCAGAGTCAACAAGATGATGGCGGTCACATTGCAAAAAAATGTTGCAAGCGCGGGCTCAAGCACATGATGCAGCTCAACGATGCGCCAAAAGATAGTGCAAGTAGATGACAGTTTTACCTGTGCGTCAATGCGACAACCAATTGTTTGATCCGATCGCTACCAGTTGTGTGCAGCGTGACGTCATCTTGCACGATGTAATTCACAATGACCTTCTCAAATATTTCAAGGACGGGCGCTGGGAACACAAGCTTGCGGACGTTCCTCAGCCTCGGCTGTACTATATTCTTGCTAGACGGTGTGGACGACAATGTGTCGTTCTCAATGATGTTGTGCAAGTGTTGGTGCGACTTCCATCTCGATGCATTGGTCTTGTGGGAACGTCCAACAGTGCGCTTCTGGCACAGTTGGACGGGATAGTTGGTCTTCAATTCTCAAGTATATGTCCAAGTCTAGGATTGTCGCGTCCGTTTGCGTTTTGAGTTGACGTCATGTTGCGTGTCATCGCTGCAAGGCACGGTCGCGTGGAGGGACTTGTCATCGTAGGGACCGTCCTTCACCGTGGATTCGATGCGGCTACCAGTGCTCACAATTTCAGTATTTCTTAACAAAAAAGTCTGAAGTCAAACTCATCTGGCAACATCATAACGACTTTTGGAAGTTTCAAGTTTGTGAAAGCTTTAGCTTCCTAAAGCTAAAGCGTTTGTTGAGCCTAAAACTCGTGATTTTTGGAAATTAAAACTTAGTTCCAAGTTGGAACTTGGCAATCCGCCACGGAGTCCGTGGCAGACTTGTGCAATTGTCAAAGGTCACTTAAGTGTTGTCAATCCATTCATCTTTACCTTTACTCTATTCGTTACTTTACCTATAGTCCAAACTTTACATTTCACCCTTACTTTTTATAGTTTTACCACGCAGCATCAAAAGTTTATCCTACCTTGCCGGCATCAAAGCATTATTTTGACTTACATGTAACTATCTAGAAAGTGTACTTTCTACTAGTGCATTACTTGGCTTGTTTTTTCATATTATAAACGCCAATGTCATATATTTGAACAACTTTGGACGTACAACTAGTGAAATACTCCTAATTTTTGAAAATTGCTAGGTTTCCAAAATTAAGGTATTTCGGGAAAAAAAATTTCCTAGCATCATTGGCATTAACACTGTAATTTCACTATTTTTTGTTTGAGGGCTTGGTGATAATACTTTTGAATTCTTTTGTATGGAGAAAATAGGCTCGTAAGGTTGGTGCAAGAATCATCTTTCTTCCATTTGATGATCAAAAAGTTCATTTCAACCTACGTCGTATTTGGAAACGTTGAATGAATAAAAAAAATGAAATATACTTGGAATCTTATAATATAGCCAAGAAAAGATTTACAATAATCAAAATAAACAAGCTATAGAAATGATATGAAAATATAAATGAAAGATTTTATTACTTTCATCATATTTCTATAGCATGTTTGTTTTGATCATTGTGAGTAGTTTTTTGGCTTGAACTAAAGTATCCAAGTACATTTCATATTAATTTTTGAACAAATATATGAAATGTACACGATCTACTTTTTCCTCACTTATTCTATTTCTTTGTTGTGTAACAAGTTACACAACAAAGACATTAATACAACCAAAAATTTGAAAACCTATTTGCAACTTCTTGTCAATTTAGAAAGAATTTGAGGTTTGTGATACACAGTTTATCAAGAAAATCAAGCACATGCACTCATATACTGTATCAAGTGAGCATTCCAACCGTATTTTCTACTCCTAGAATTCTCTAACCAATCTGGCCAAAATTCCATATAATGTATAGAATTTTGCCTTTATTAATTTTGGCAGATTGGCCAAATTAATTTTGGTAATTCTAGAGTCTAAAAATAGATCACAAGATTTCAGGAGTCCTAACCTACACTCATCTAATTGCATCTTCTCAAAGCAACTAGTGCAAATAACCCTATCAAACCAACCACCAAGCTCTTTGATGATTGAGGTGATTAGCCCAGGTGTGTGAGTTAAGAGAAATCACTCACCGTATATCATACTAACCTTGATTTTTTTTTAATACCCTATCAATTTCAACCAAAGAATAATTGCTTTCATGTATTGAGCAGACGTTTTTATGCTTTGAGTGAACTTTAATCTCATTCATGAAACAAAAAAAAACATCTAATCTTTTGTACGTTTAAACAAATGAACTAAGCCAAAATTTATCCAAACAAAAAATGAAGTTGAAACAAGAAAGACAATAAATTATGGTAGACAAAATTTGATCTTAGAAATTTAGTTGTGTCAATGTGTCAACAATTCACAACTCGTCTTGAAATTCAAAATCAATTATACTTCAAACCTTGCAAATCAAACATCAAATTTGCCCAGATTTAACAAAAAAAAACTTGCCTTTTGCTTAGGTTAGCATCAGATCATTTCATTCTCCAAACCTTGGCTGAAAATCTTACTGTGTTGTTTCTAAAATATCTTCAAATTGGCTTAAAAAACCGTGAAAGCATTTCTTGAGCATTTTTTACTAGGGATTCAAAAAACCAAGATCCAAGATAGGAAAAACTTCATAGTAACCACACCAAAAACACAAATATAACAAAAACTCTTCAGTATCAAAATAATACAATAAGAACTGAGAGCAATTATCACACAATAAGGAACTCAAACATACAACCGACACGGAAAATACATGATTCAAGAATGTGAAACAAGCGCCTTAACATTGTAACAATTCAGAATTAAAAAAACTTGTGTACAAGATGTTTACTACTATCATATATTTCAAAATTTTGCTTCCAAGAATTCATCAAACGTTACATATGATCAAAAATTCTTCAATATCAATTGTTGGCAAATATTACAAGAACAAAATTGCAAACATACAACCAAGATAGAGTATAAAAAGAGCTATGATACCAATTGTTTGCAATCATCATAAGATAGAAAGTGCAAAAATACAATCTATATAATATTTATGTGGTTTATCATTGCAGACTACATGCAAAAAAATCAAAAATTTTATTTCAAAATCCTTAGTTTGTCTCATTACTTTGATGTTAACTCTTACATGATGAAAAATTAACTAGGTAGAGTAATCAAAGTTGGATTTACTAAAAGTAAATCAATATTTGAGTTAACTTCCAAAAATACAATTAGAAGATATGTTACAAAAGTCATATTTGATGAACAAAACATAAATATCTCATACTCTTTTTTGAGAATTAACTTTATTAAAATTTATTATTATTTTAATAATTTTAATTTGATGAAAATAAATAATCTAAATTTATTTTACTATTATTTTATGAGCACATCAAATTATATCATGATAAAGCAAGAAAAAAAAAGAGAAATTTTTATATTTCTATTAAAAATTCATATGTTTATGAAGATTTTGTTTTAATATACATGTCTAAATTATAAAATGAATTAATTATTATTATTCTCCAAAAAATTTATAAATATTTTAATATTTTGAAATTTTTTCATGTCTAGTCAAAAGAAATGAAATTTCAAGATTATTGGTGTTATGATATAGGTTAATTTCACATGTAAAGCTTGATGATCTTAAATTTCCGTCATTAAATTTTTTTCTTCATGATAACGCAACAAGATAATGATCTCATTTATAATTTATGTGTATGACTAATTCTATATTAAATTCAAAAATTATACCTTTTTCCATTGAAATAGTTTCAAAAGTTCAAAAATTTTGAATGTAATTGAAACAACTTTTGAATTTTCAACAACAATTTCTGCACCAAAGTTTTTTTCAAAAAAATCATCACATTCATTATATAATAAATTAACTAGAAACTCATAAAACAAAATTTTGTTAAACTTATCTTTCCATATGGTTAATGATATACACATTCAACAATAAATATAATGTGTATATCATCTATGCAAACTGGCCTAACCAATATTTTAATCCAATAAAATCATTTGCAAACTAGTTTAGAGTTTGTGGATGAACCAGAAACATGTTGGGTTTTTAAGAAAATAGATGTGTGTAGCGTTTAATTCTTTCTACATCTTCAAAGATTCACTCTGGAAACGATACGACCATGAAACCCAAATTGAATTTTACCCTTGAATAGTTCTCAAATAAGTTAGCTTCAATATAGACCCCAAGTGCTTTGTATGTACGTAAAACTTAAAGTGTACTGTTCATACTTTATTACTTTGCAAGACTAAGAGCTGACTTAAATCTCTATATCAACACCCAGTTTTGTTCTTGATGACAATCATTAACTTGGATGATATATCTCGTGAACTATTCACATATTGCTCCTTCTCCTCCTGTTTCAAAACTCTTTCCATGCACATATCCCATTCTAAGTACTCTCACTTAAATCTCTATATTAACACCCAATTTTGTTCTTGATGACAATCATTAACTTGGATGATATATCTCGTAAACTCTTCACATATTGCTCCTTCTCCCTCTATTTCAAAACTCTCTGTCCATGCACATATCCCATTCAAAGTATTCTCACTAAATCATTATTATATGTAAGTCTCTGTGCCTCGACTTACATATTAGAGGTATGTCAACAACCTTCAGGCTCTCTTAAACTGTTGTTGTGAAGATTATGAACTTCAGACTCGAAGTGGCTCCTTAAATTTAAATATCAAAGCATAAATGAAAGTTGCGGAGGCGGGCAATTAACGACAGGAACAATGGAGTGTGAATCAGGATGCAAGAAATTTATATGGAGGCCTGTAAATCGTAAGTTGATGTGCTTTTGACGATGGGTGTGATCGAAGTTTTTGCTTCAATGAACATGAAATAGTAAAGATGGGACCTTCAAATCAAACAACATTTTCGGAAAATATTCTTGTCACAATTATCACCTCAGATGAATCTTCTTGAATGAAGGTATCAGTTTCATCATCTCCACGCATTCTCTGATGACGGTAAAATCACTGCCTGATGATAGAAGTTGTGGCTGTCACAAAGATGAATTTGACTCACATTCCGCGACGTGTACTTAAACAAATGATAGGAGGAACATTCGGTCGAACTCTGCATGTAAGATGCGTGTTATCCCTCGCACAACAATTTAATAATATATCTTACAGCTCTCACAACCTGTTAACAGAATGATATTAGCCTGTTAAGTCAATGATATTTTGCCGCCAAGAGAACAAGCAAGATATTACACGGATAGGATTGACAAACCAGTCCATGGATTTACAAACTAGAAAAGGAATATAGCGCGAATCTCTATGTTACCGCGGCAATACAATGTATCGTACCTATGTCGTCCGATCCTACGTGTTTACCTACCTTGACTATCTACCCTCGATGTACAGTCGGTGCAGCTTGAGTTGATTTAAAGCAAGAATGCCATTGCTTGGTTAGTTTGCCCAAGTTCTTCTTTACATTATCAGGCATATTACATCCACTGATTGAGATTTCTAATGCGTCGGGAAGTCCACTGCTTCCATTCCCTCTACAGCTTTGGGCAGCAGCAGCATCCATACTTTCTTTAATGGCATCAAGAGGTATAACCTGCCATGATAACACACTGAGTGAGCAAAAGTTGTTTGTTACCCTACATGCAGAACACTTAATGCAATAACTTTCAGTCGTAAAGAAAAATGACTCCTTACGAGTATCTGTAGGAGAGCACAGTTCGAAAACAGCATTCGCCGTAAGTAAGGTGAATACAGATACACCTCTGCCAGATTCTTACATCCGCTCGCGTCAACTACTTTCAGAACGCGTGATTGACAGAATAACCTGCGAATAATAATTTAAAATTGTCAAATTATCTCGCGAAGAGTGCACGAATGTGCCTTCAGAGTAAAATGAATCTATTTGTGCACACACATAAGTTTGCATACGATTTAAGTAAACGTTTTGACGGAAGGTCAAAAGTCAATTAAGCAATCAGGAAACTGCTGACTACACTGCTTCCTTTTACAACTCCTAAATCTTGGAAGATAGTAGCTTACCTTCTTAAAGCTTGACTTCCAGAAACCTCCAGAGTCAATAAGCTGGGTTGCATCAGATCCAACCTTTCGATACGGTCACAACCACCACATCGCAATTCTTCGAGAGCAACGGAGACCTCAACTGCGGAATTCATAGCAGATTGCACTAACATCCGACACCCAAACAGGTTCAAACTTTGTAACTCGCTGCACTGAAAACTGACAAATCTCTCCAAACTGTCTGCAAGTCACATCAGAGAGAGTGTCAGTTGTTATCTGAATGATTCGGGTGTTTTAGCCCTTAAAAGGGTCCAATTATACTGGATCATCAACACCAGTTCAATTTCAGTGATGCGTAAAACAGAAAGACCATTACAGGCCACTGAAGGGACTCATACACGGCTCAAGCAAGGTTCCAGCACAAACAAGGCGCGGTGGTCATAGAGTGTACCGCAGAGAGACAGGTTGAGAGCGGTCAGAGAAGGACACTTTAGCTGAAGCCGTGTCAGTTTCTTGCAATTCGCGAGATTCAGAGATTTCAGTGTAGTAGACATCAGCACCAGCTCCTCAAGCTGAAGGCAAAATAAATAACGTAAGTCTGCTGTAATTGGTCACCACCCTCAACCAGTTCCACGATCCCCATGTATGCTCCCCGTCAAAGCAACGGGTAGAAGCATAAATGCAAATCCTGCGTGAAGAAAACCTTGGCGCCTGACACTATTGGATATAGAAGCAAGAGAGCAAATCAGAAGCAGTGACATTCGTGATGCAAATTAACAGGACAGAAAAAAATGGAGTTTCATCCTCATACCTTGTAGCAACCTGCAAGGTTAAGGTGTTGTAAAAGGCTTTGAACGGGCAGCTGATATACAAGCCTACTTATGCCAGGCATTTGGACTGCAATCAACTGCTGCAATGCAGATTTTGCAGGTATTCGAAGTCCTGCATTCGTCACACCTCCACATCTTGATACATCTAATGTAGAAAGACAAGATCTCAGCGCGCCCTTTAACAGAGCCTGCAAATACATTGCCGTTCACGATTTTTTTTATACAGTTAAGAGTGTTATTTGATTTTCTCTCTTCCTTCAAACCATGCTGCTGTATTTCTCGGGGGTTAACCTTCTTATCAGAGAATATTCAAGAGTCTTCACTTCGAGTCTTGCAGTACACTAAATGCTATATTGCTCTGGACAACATAAAAGATCGTTGGGTATACGTTTTAACTTCATGAAAAATAGCTGCCACTAGACAATGAAGGCAACGACCTAGTAACAAGTAGGAAAGTAAAAATATAAAAAACGTCCAACCATGTGCTGTATTTATAACTTTCGAACTAGATTCATAGAACATGAGGTATTTCTATCCATACGAATGCCGCAGTGCAGATTTACTATAACCTTTGCGATCCTAATAGTCTTTTCAGATGCGCATAAAACACATAAAACACCTACATATCAAACCTTTTCAACAATTTGGCACACATCCATGATATGAATCGAGAAGCAACGGGAGACTGAAGCCTAATTCCGGAAAGGGTTTGCAATAACTTACCTGCACACCCCTATCTGTGATCTCAGGACAACCTGCTACAAGCACTGCTCTCAACCCACTAACACGTTTGCATTCACTTCCATCGGCATCTGAAGTCACAGTTTTACCCAAGTCTTGCACGAACTCTGGGCCACAGTAAGGAGCACAGCCAGAATCTGAAGTCAAATTGCTAGTTTGCTTGTTTCTTCTTAGTTTGCCTCCTATGACCATAGAACCAGGGAGGCATATGGCAAGCTGGGAAGGGTTTTTTGTGACTCTAGGACCTGGCGGTCCTATACCCTCCATGGAGATGCCTTTAGTAGGAACTTCGGTGATGGACACCACATCAGCAAGCTCTGATCTACCTCTAAACTTTAGGTCAGAAACAGCGAATACTCCTACATGGTTAGTGGTCCTGCAGAATCCCTCAGCACTACGATTCGCTCGTTGGGTAAGGTCCACCCTCTCGTCTTTTATTTCAGTAGCGCCAGCAATACAGAAAGACTTTGAGCCAGATGATTTCCTCGTCGTATCATTCCATTTGGAGGTTTCCTCGTGATTCTTAGGATAGTACACACTTGTCTGCGTCCTGGTCATCCTGTCATCACTGACGGTAGTCTTCACACTCGAGTACCTCGTTCCGTTTTCGTCTACTTGAGCCAATAAGGGAGAAGCATGCACATGGATCGGGCCGCTTGGTTGAATAGAGCTTGAATTTATCCTGTCTCTCAAGGCCGGAATGGCCGTAGATGATTGTTCTTCCTGTTCATTCACTGAGAACTGCTTATACATATCGTGATATTTGTTTGCAGCAGCGATCTCGCTTATTAAAGGCTCACTTGGTGCGGAGTAGGAACTCGAACTTGAGGGCAGATCAACGGCATTCTCCATTCCGCCAATAGACCTAGAAGTCAAAGGTACAATACTAGTGCTGGGATCAGTAGTTATACTCCAATCTATGAATGTCAAGGTGGAATCCAGCTCGACAGGCTTTTTGGTCTGAGAACACAGTGGGCCAGCCATACTTTTGTCATTTGAAGCTGACGATGGAATAGCTTGATCGAATACATTGGCAGTTTGAGACGCTTGAACCAAAAAAGTAGATCCTTTCTCCCTGCCGAAATCAACTGGAGCTGCCGGAGCTGCCTTCAAACCTAGAGACTCGGCCGTCATTTGAGCATAGCTCTTCTTCGCAGAGAGGCTTGAAGCTACCTTTAAATCACTTCTTCTCGCTGCATATGGAGAATTGCTTAGTTTTTCGTCTTCCACCTTGACCTTGCTAGAACTTTCTCTCCGAAGCTTATCTGCTGAAGCCCCTAGCCTAGGCCAAGTTCGGTAATGGCTGGTACCATTCAAAGCCAGTCCTTGAATTTCCTCGAAAACGGCAGCATCATTATTTTTCAGAAACATCTCCTCCGTCTCTATCTCTTCACCTGGAGCCACTTCTGGAATAACCTTGACAGTTGAATTGCCTGCTGCGAATCTGGGATAACACTTATAGTTTTCAAGAGGATCATTGACCTTCTCAACATGTTGATAACGAGAGAGGGTAAGAAGTGCGTTATCACTCAAACAGGGACAATTTGTAAAGTCCACCTCTTCAAGCTGCAAAAGGGGGACAATCGAACAGTTACTTTGGTTCAAGGACCGTCTGAAACACTGACATGCGTCATTAAACCTACAAAATCAAAATGGTTCACGGGCCATCTATCATCTGCTTCAATATTTTTGAATTCCTTGGACTGGAACTTTGACGAGAATAGGTTACTATAACATGATAAAAAATCCTCATTCTGACTGCTTGTAACAAAGACGCGCAGTAAACTTAACTCACCTTCGAATGTAGAGAACACAGCAAGCTCACGTCTGTGTCCAAGAGATGCATGCAGTTTCTGAAATCTACTGACGTCAATGATCGCGATTTCTTTTTCTCCCCACCTTCAGATTCAAGTTTGCTAATATTGTCTTTTGTAGAACTATTACTGGTTGCTGCCGCTCTGATTATGGATACAAAACTCTTCAGCTTCAAGCCTGTATATCCCGTGATAAGAATGTAACCAAGCTCCATACAAAATAAGGTACATGTCTAAATCCTAACTTGCTCCGAAGCTTTCAAGCGCATCCATTGTGAAGACCATGTCAAAAATTAGGTGATAGACAAACTGACTTGACCTTGGACTCAAGAACTAACTTGCGATATTCCACAGCCAATATTTAATGCAAGATGCAACGTAAAAACTCACCACAGCGCTTGAAACTTAAAGATCTGAGATTTGGATGGGCGGCAACCTGTCAAAAGTGAGCATTTTTTAAAAGAAGTATCTTTAAAAACATAAAATAGGCTCAATTCCAGATTTTGGTACAACTGCTTCAGTCTAAAGTAATGGGATAACAAGGTTTCTCTAATCTTTGATTCAAAGTAAAACGTTAATCACTTTTGTCAGAGGTCCACATCCACGAAAAGAGAATATTGCATGTACTCTATTTTGATACACGGTAGAAACCCTAGCTTCCGAACTCAAACTCTATTAGCATCTGAAAACCTGTCTGAGCTTGCTATCGATAATGAGAGATAAATTCGCTTCTTCAGAGTAGATGTGAGGAGCCTGCACGTACCATGCCCTCTAAAGCAGACATAGACAGAGTCGGTGGCAGCACTAGAAGGTGCACAGAACTCCTCAGGACAGTTACTGCTTTCAGAAACTCCTTGGATACCTACATTCATCAGAAACAGAGTTCTGAAACCCTACTACTTGAAAAAATAGACAGGATCCTAACAATTTCCAAAAATCAGAACAACTTAGAATTCTGTAAATTGTGATCCAAAAATATAATACCACATGTCGAAATACAAAATGTCACATTCAATTCTAGTATGCAAAAATTTCGAAAGTAAATCGAAACAAAACTTGAAAAAGGTTGGTCCGACAACACTTCACAGAGATCTGTAGAACCCGGCCCGTACAGAGCCCACTTTGCGAAATTCTTTTGGAACTTAACTTACTCTCGCAATGCGTGCAACTTCCTTCGTTGAGAGCCCCGCGAGAATCATTGATTTGCACTCCTCAGGGAGCGCATCCCATCGATTCAGGACATTAACCTCTTCCATTCTCAATCCAGAACAATTGGCTCTGTCTAATCAAATATGGCGAGCAGAGCCTACTCCGCCAAAAACGTCTTGGGTGAAGATCGCCAAATCACAAAAATTCCGAAAACCTCTCAAAGCAGGGCACATGATAAGCCTGCAACTTTGGATGAACTACAGAATTTCTTGACGTCCTCCCAAACTCAGCGTTCATGGAATTAGCCACTCCTTGTTTGCGGAATTGCGGGACGCTGTCCTTACACATTTGCTAAATATATCCATGGCTAGCCTGCACTATCCTGTCAATCGACGTTCCATTGTACATGGCCCTCTTCTGCCTCTTCTTTCTGATTTAATACCTGTCGAATCCTTCTGACCTTGCAAGATCTCGTCGCCCTTGTTCATATTTCGAACTTTCTTCCTCATGGCATGGGAACCAGAAGTATAACTACTACGTGTACACTTTGCACAATGTAGTGTCCATCCCCGCATGTTCTTGTACGGTGTGATTTGTGTTTCTGATTCTCGTTCTTCTACGAAACTAAATAATGAAATAGCCCTAGGAAATTTAGTTCTCTTTCTGCCCCTTCTATGAGAGTGGAGGCGAGCCCATTTTTCCGTTCCGTTCCATCCTTAAAGGGGTCTTTTCACTTTTTTCCTGTCCACTCGTCCAACCTTGGGCGGTTGCAATAAAGTGCACAATGTGTTCTTCATGATTTACTGTCAGATCGATAATATTAGTTTTTTATAATAATTATAACGTCTGTCCTATGATAGTTCCAAATCTGATATGCAAGTTGGGTTTCTCTATATTCATTTTAACAACCTGCAAAATTTAAGATAGAGAGTTGTTTCAGTGTTTATTTTGATCGAGCAAGCATGACGGTATTGAACTCAATGGTAACTTAAAATTGAAGCCATATAATTCAAAACAACCTCTCCAATCACATTGACTAAACTCTACACATATGATAACGTCTGGCAAATATTTTCCGTTATTATTTTACCCTAAATAATTTATTATTTTAACTGTGTTTATTCATTCAGTCATCAGTCCTATAATATTCTTACTAGTCCACAAACTGCAAGAATCCTGGATTTTAGCCTGCTGTAGTACTTCCGTTTGTTCAAAAACAGTTGATTGACTTTTGCAGGGGATGAAGAAAAATGATAACAAATCTCGGTCTGTATTTCGAAATTATACTCCATGGATTTATGAAGAAGCATTCATTTGAGAAGACAATATAGGAATGGTGACTCTATGTCGTTTACTTTATTATGACCTATGACTCATAGGTCATAGATTTTAGTTGAATGCTCATAGGCTATGAGCATTCAACTAAAAAAAATATGTATGAGACTTGTCAGCTACATCTAGATAATAATGAAATGCTTAGAAAGTCAATGAACAAGATGTTCTTTTGCACTCGATTTTTTTGAACCAAAAAATACTATAAGATAGTTCAAAATCAAAATAAATGGCTGAAATCTACAACATGATATACATTTCTATTTGTAGTTTTATTATATTATAATATTTAAACTTAAGCTGAATATGAGGATGTATTATCATTTGAAATTAGATTTAAGATTTGATCTCATAAAGTACAAGTGATTGAGAAGAATGCTTTTAAAAGAACGGATTGCGTGTGTATCTTAGCTTTTTCAAACATCTATTCTCAATGTAAAATTAGAAATATTGTAGTTTTTTGAAAAAAAAAATTGTACTTATCAGATTTGACTCAAATTCAAAACATGAGGAAAAACACAGTTAAAGAAAAACTAATTTTTTATATTTTCTCATGAAATCATTGCAAGAAAACACATTACCATAAAGTATTAAGATATTATTTTAAAATATTTTCATAAATTCAAATTATCATAAAATGTAAAAACATAAATACTCAACGAAAAATATAAAATAATAAATAATAAAAATATTTTAAATAATTTTCAAGCTATGAATTATTCAAGATTTAAAGTCTTTTTATAAATACACAAAATCTCTGACTTCTCTCATATGATTTTTGATTAGAAAATTTAAAAGATAAAACAAAAATGAATAAAGCGTAAATTACAACAGCTTATAGTTTATCATAATTGTGATTTATTAACATAATGTTAGCCACACGTATTCAAATTCATGAATCTCAAGTTACACCTTTGAAATATTTTTACTTTTAAATCTATTTTTGAATTATTTGTAAATTTCAATATTTTCACTTGTTAAAAAATATAAAACATTTTAAATTTACTCATAAATAGCTAATATAAAATAATATTTTATCACTTTTTTTTTATAAATTTTATTATTATGATTTATATAAAAAAATTAAATAAGAAATTGATGATTATATTCTATTACAAATTTGAAGAAAGATTTGATCTAACATTAATCTAATATTTTTCTTTCAAAAAGCATGGATTTTTTAATCTTCATAAAAATCATATTTCTAAAACTTGGTGAAAAATTATACATATGACATATTCATATCTTCTTGTAATTATTTCATGCATCAAATTTTTTATTTATATTCACTTAATTATGTTGTTAAAATTTTAACAAATATAAAAATTGATCTTTTATTTAAAATTTCAAATCATCAAAGCATAGATTTTTCAAATATTAATTGAAGATATGATATAAAATTATCATAATTGGTTTAATAAAATTTATTCTCATTATGAGTCTATCCACTGCATTAAAATATAGAATTGATGACATCTTTTTCTTCTCTATGTCATAGATCAAACATTAAACTAGACAAAGATTGAAGTGTGCTGACCAAGAGATACATTTTTTTTTCAAAGTGTGTCATGTTACATTTTTCAAGCACATGTACTTGCTGTGAACTTGATTAAACCATAATTTTCTTTTCATCAAATTCATGTAAGTTATATTACTAATATACTCTTAAACTTATCTAAATCTTTTATCTTAAATATAGATTTCAACTGTATTTAGCAATAATACAACATTTTTTCATAGTAGCATTTCATTCAAGTTTATTGATGGAGTCTTGAATTTTCCAATAAGAAGAACGGTTTTTTTTTCTTTCAAGATGAACACAATGTTATCAGCATCATTTGTATCAATATCACAATCTTCAAGTATGGATTAATCAACTCATGACAATTTCTTGCAAAATGTTAACTAATCCACTTTGATATCTCTAATCACTATTATCTCGTGTAGAGAATTATGTAGATATGTAGAATTAAATGTAAGTTTATTAACTTGCTACTATAATTCTTGCTCTTCACAAATTTACTCCATCTGTAGTGTAGCTTTTCCTTGTGTCACATCATTAATCATATAAAGATCAATGTACTCCTCAACAACATCTATGAATGAAGATATTTTCTTGTACATATAGAAAGTTTGAAAATCTACTTCTTCAATGATATGGACTTATTGAAAGAAACATCATAACTACAAATTATTTTATATTTTATTGGATTTTATAGCTTGTAATCTTTCACACTACAAGCACATCTAAGAAAACAACACTTCTTGGATGTAATATACAACTTGATTTTATTCACCTCATGTATGAGATTATAAGACGTATAAATATTCAAAATACTTTATTCAACCATATGTTTGTGCCCAAGTTAAAACATTGTGAAAAAAATTTGCATTAGAAAAAAATAAATATACACTACAATATTGATAGTTTCAGCTCAAAATTCATATAGTATACTATATTGGATCAACATAATGCGCACAACTTTTCCAACATTGGCTAATTAATACTTTTAAAAACAACATTCTGTTGCAAAGTTTAAATGATGGTGAGATGAGGAATAATTCACTTCTCTTTGCATTAAGTTCAAAATTTCTTTAAATTATACTCATATCACCGACTTGACATACACAATTAACTTTAAAATCTCAGTGACAATGAATTTTTCCAACTTTGAAGTCTTATTTCTAACTTTAGAGTACTATTTCTTCTATTAATTCTTATACTTGCTTGAAGTATATATGTACAATCTTTGAACTTTGTTACTCAAATCTTTAACATCAATCATACTTCTAGTTATTGATTCTACTCTTATTTTTTTCACTTTAAGTGTTATTGTGAATTTTGTATAAAAAACCTTCTCACTTTTAATCTATTTTAACTTTGCTTTGAAAAAATATATTTCAATCATACAATTGACGTATGCAACAATTTGACGAAAGTGAACAACATGTATTTTTTCCACAAGTTTGTATCTAGTATTTTTGTATAGTTGTTTAATTAGAGTTTCATGAAAGCATTTGCATGTATTTGAATACATTCGCTATTTTGTTTAATCTAGTTGTTTTATAAGTAAGTTTTTGTTTAATGTCATAGATTGAACTCACATAGATATGAATAGATCTCTCTAAATTTTTGAAGCTATTCACTTTCCGTGATAATCTCAAGTGTACATGACGCTAAGATTTGCTACTTCATTCATTTGTAAACCTTCAGGTGTATCAAATTCAAGATAGATTACATTTAATATATATGGATGCACGATGTGTTTGCCATGCTACAATAACTACAACAAAAGAATGTCAATTTACAAATGTCATGAAATAACTCAAAGTTGCTCACGTCTCCAACATAAGTTCTAGCTTCTATAGCAAATTCAAGTCCACACGCATCAAAGTAAACTCAAGTAAGCTTGCAAGATAAGATTGATGAAGATTGTACAAATCTATAATATTTTTTTAATCAACTTTGGCTTGTTTTTTGTCTCTAATCACATAGATACATAACAGAAGAAACACAAATTTGACTGATTGAATCACTTCTCATAATAATCTTTTTATCTTGGTTTTTTTTCATTATTAAAAACATAATTTTTCAATTCTAAAAAACTTTGATCAATTTTTTAAAAAATTCAGCAAGAAATATGACAAAGAAACATTCAATCTTAATACAACAAAGAGGTTTCAAACATTGCAACAATGTTTGAGTACAATTTCATTATGCTTGGCAGAATTCAAACATCATGCATGTGACATCGATTGAAATAATACATCTCTCATTATAATATTCACTATCGATACTATAATGATATACAAATCTTGTTAATGAACTTGTGCAAATCAATTATTTTGTTAGAAATCATTATTCAAACAATCAACAATGACAAGCTGTTGTTTGAGGAGCAAGAGTAACAACATTTGTTCTTTAAATCAAATTAAGTGGATTAAACAACTCTAAAATATCAAACATCTTCCAGCACTTCAACCTTACATCTCATGCAAAATAAAACTTCAAAAGTTAGAAAGTAAATTGAAAAATATAATGAATGACATTGCAAATAACACTTATGTTTATATCATAGAGTCAAGTATCACACCTTGAAAAAATTTTCTTCTGAAACCTCGAAGTCAAAAATTGCAAATTCAAAAATTTGAAACTTTGAAAAAAACGTTTATAATATCTCATATTTTGACACATTTTGATTTCCAAAAGCCGTGCTTCGTAAAAATGGATACTTTTGACTTTGTTCTTTGAATCTTCTTTTCACAATTACAAGAAATCTGTTTTAAATCTATCACATTCCACTTGCATAAATTTATTGATTTGAAGATCAATTATGAAATGCACAAATAGTAGCTCTTAGCAATCGTTGATTTGTTTCGAAAAGTGTTGAATGAGCTCAACATCTCTTTCTAGTTTACAACAATCACAAAAACCTTGAACACATTATGTTTGCCAAGCAACTTAATTGACAATAAATTCGTTAAAGTATATTGTTTGTGTACTTCAACTTTGTCACATTTATCACAAATTCGCTTTGACTCTCTTATCTCACAAATGTAGCTTGCATCTATGGAAGTAGATGTAACTTACTAACCAACCAAAAAAACTCTTATCAAGCTTATGCAATTTTAGCTGAAGACTGTACGTAGCATAATTTTGTGGATGCATTTTTTTCCAAGATATTTGAGTAAGTTTATAATTTGATCATTTGACCTTGAAATTTTTAAAAAATGTTGTCATCTTCAATCTTGGAGAATATCCAAACTTGGAAAGTATCAAATCTCTAATTCAAAGTTTATAGATTCAAATTTTTAAATCAAACTACTTCCAATTTACATATTTCTAATTGCATTGAACAACTTTGAGACGATGATGATTCAAGATTCCAATTTTGAGATGGATTGTTATACTATCATGAATTACTTTATGTACTTGAAGTTTCATGTCAAGTTTAACGTTTGAATCTCAATACAACTTTTCATCAACAAGACATTTTGGTTACAATAAAATCATTAAGCTGACAACCATACGGATTATTTAAATCACAATTGTTTTCAACAACTTCATGGACATTAATATGCATGATTTTTATTATGAATCTTTTAAAGTCTAAATGTTTTGATTGCAATTTGATTCTCCTTAATTTTGAGATGGACTAATATACTTTTTGTCCATGAAGATTCATGCTCAATCTTCAGCTAACGGTAGTATTCATTAGACTTGCTTGATGTATATATAAAAAATCTCAATACATCGTTTTTCACTCTTATCAACACTGATTGTACATACTCTTCTAGTTATCAATAATACTTCTTTGTCTTGTATGAAAAAACTTATCAATTTTGGTCTAATTTGGTATTTTATGTTAATATTGTCTCAATCTAATTTTTTTTTCAATGATAAAATTTCTGTTCGCAACATTACTATCCAACAACTGTCCAAACTAACCAAATTTTAACTCAGAATCTAACATACGTTAGGTTATGTGTATATTTGAAACATATAATTTTAATTTATTTTTTTTAAATGTTGGTTGTAATTTTAATATTATTTGGAATGACTTCATGAAATAAAAAAATGATTCATTTTTTGATAACTAAACTTTAGTTTTTAAAAATATTTAAAACTATTATTTATATATTCAAATATATTTAAGCATTTGGTTTCATCTATTAAATGTAATTTTAATTATATTTTGAGTGTATTTTTTCAATGAATTTTTTCATATATTTTTTACTTAAATATTGTTACATGTTTTATTTTTGAAATAGTGATAATGCTCTTTTTTTCTAAATTTTTGTACAATTTGATTTTAAAAATATAAAACATCAATTTTCATCAAGCTCTGATACTTTAACATTGTAATTCAAGACGTTGATGAACTTTCAGGAATTAATTCAAGATTTTCAATTATTAATCAACTAATATAGTAATTATATAAAAAAAATTTGTCAATTCACTTGAATATCTATATTATCATGCTATTGATATATCTATAAAGCATGTTATGATATCATGAATACATCAGTAATAGTGACTCAAGTCTTTTAGTAATTCATGTAAGGTTGATTCCTACTGATAAAACTCGTTGAACTGTCACTATATGAATGAGTTCATGAAAACTCTCGATGACACTTTTTAGGATTGTTCAGTAAAGCATGAGGTGTTACATGTATGAACCACCAATGTCCAATGCTAGCTCTAGATGTGCGTGTGATTTTTTGTGTTTATGTGTGTGTAAGAGTGCATTCGACTAATGTGTTCAACTTTCCTCGTGATGAATAAACTGTCAAGAAAAATGTTCATACTCAACATCACTACTTACAACATAAAGACTTGCCTCATTCATATCATCATGTCAATCTATCCAAATTGAATGTGAATGTAAGCATAAAATCTCAAATATAATTTTACTGTATTCATTATGAATAATCTATCTAGATTATTAGATAACTGGTCAATTCTACAAGTATATTTTCAAGAAATTTTAAAAACTGATGATGCTTTCTATAAACAAAATGTTCATGTTCATATTCCAATCTATCAATTAGCTCTTGATTATCCATGAATGTCGAATCAAAGTAATTATAATTTTGAGATTCCAAGTGTGTACTATAATAAAGTGTCTTTTGTTATATATATATATATATATATATATATAACCTTTCTCCACGTTGAACAGCGTTGTCCGTTGCTTCAAGATATCGAACCACATTCATCCTACTGCAGTTCTTAGGTGTGTCAGACTTCTAATACATACAGTACTCCCGCATGAAAGACCTCATTACATTGTGCAATTAACATTTGCGGAGATTTGACTTGTAAAGTTGTCCTTACCCAGTGAGTGAGTTACCGTCCTCACTAACTGGGTAACTCAGTTAGTGAGGACGAGAATACGTGTAATGTTTGGATAGTCGGGGCCGTGAAAGAAATGACAAAGATAACGACTGGGAAAAAGAAGACCTGCAGATGGTGAGAGACGAACGAATGCGCGGCCATGGCATGACGGAAGCTCTACTACACAAAACACTGTCTGGACCAGCGTGCACCGAAGCGACTCTCCACCTTGTGACCGGCACGCTCCTTCGGAGTCCGTCTGTTCCCTAGCTTCCCAAGTGTTCCAGAGCACCTGTTTCGAGTGAGAACGTCGAAGACAGAATTGACGATGGCGTTGCTCGTGGATTTGAGCCGCGGTGCTTTGTCCTCAACTTCTCTCCAGTATCACGTTCCATGTGCCACTGCCAGCTCGCGCAACCGTATCCCCTCTCATGTGACAGTTCGAGCGTGGAATGCCAGCCCTGCTTTACAATCCGAGCTTTCTACATCTTCTCTGTCCGCTGGTTTTAGAGTCCAGGCCGTGGAAGAGACGAGCAGCAGTAGTAGTGTTGCGTCACCGACTGAGGATAAGTCCGCTTTTGGAGTTCCCCAGGGGGGTTGTGCTGCTTGCGGCAAGCCCGAGAAGGTCGGAGGATGCAACGGGGAAGGTAGAATACAGGGCGGAATTGGAGCGGTTCCGGGCTTCGGGTGGTGGCCCATCAAAGCTTTCAGGCCATGTCCGGCTTTCGTCGAATCTGGAGGGAAGTATAGACGAATTGGGCAGAGCTTGGATGAAGTTGCTTTCGGAAGAGCAGCTGCTAGTGACGATCTGGATATCTCTGAGCGCCTGAAAGGTCAATAATCTGATGGTGTACTCGTTCATGGACGCTCAGTGCTTGAAATTCATCAATATTACGAGTTCTTATGCTCTTCTGCACAAGCTTTCGCCCATCTTTTGTATTTCACAGAATATAGACAAATGTAGACATTTTTGTTTTCGCCTCTCTCCTTTTTTTGTGAGTGAATTTCGCGATCTGTGGGCTTTTTTGACGATAACTAAATTCGCAACGAGCTTGCACTGACTCTGATTCGATCGATGTTTGAGCATTCGGGTGAATGTTGTTAAGGGTTGACTCTTAAGAAATTATCATTTGGTGCTGGCTTGGTTTTGCTCGTTCTATGTTGGGGTTAAATAGGCCTGTTAGAAGATCTTTGCTCCAGCGCTTCGAGTGGGTGTTTATAGTACATCATGATGGTGATGATTTCTCAATATTCTATGAAATTCGAAAAATTTCAAGCTGCGCTCCACTTACTATTGTAGTGATTGAATCTCCTTTTAAATCGAGCATTAATGGGAACTGTGAATCGAAGGGTAGCGTTCTATTCATAACAGATACTGACATTTCCTTCCACATCTGCACATACTGAAGACTACACCGGACTTAAACTGATGCCTCTGCACTGTGCCAAAGGGAACTCAATTGAGCTTATCCAACTCGATTCTAGTAAATTGAACTAGTATTAAAGTCTTAATAATCGTTCGTGACATTTCGAGAAAGAGTTGAAGCCCAACTGCCCTTTTTTTCTTTTTTTTTTCCTGATGCCCGATTCTGAAGAGTAGTGATAGTCATGTACGCAATCTCGTGTATATTTCTTTGCTTCTCAAGTTCGCACCCCCTATTCATGACTCCTCTCTGCAACAGCAGTCTGAAAGAGATGATTATCGTTACTCTGATTTTTGCCCAAACGTTCTCATCGACGTAGGGCCACTGACATGAATATTATTCAGCGAGGTATTTTGGGACAAAAAAAGGAAGCTGGCTAGGTTTTCAATCATCATGTGAGCTTGAACTTCTTCCGCTGCCACATTGTCCGCAAGCAGCGTCATAAATTGCGATACTGTCATCACGAACTAACCCGGAGTGAACAGACCAGGCACATCTGTCGTATCGGAGTATCAAAAACAGGTAGTTTCGCGAGAGCAGTGCTTCAGAGATCTGAGCCCAATACGTTTAATACATAAGAGATTCAAGAGAATTTCGACAACAGAACTCAGTTCTCGTCTGCGTATAATACTGGAGATTTACGTGACTTACGTAAGCAAAATAGGATACGAGGGTGTCAAGAGCTCTGCGGTCGAACATTGGTATGGTTTATTATGTGCGCCATGGCAACTCTACCTCCGATCAACCGTGCATGAGAGATGTGGGATACGATTCATAGCCTTAACTACCAGTCAGGACTCTGCTACTTTCTTCTGTTACTGTCTGTCTTAGTGAGAAAACCCTCCTTGGCTAAAGTTTGGCGACGGCCAGCTCCAGCTGTATCAATGCAGCCAGTCGTTCCGCTCGAATATAGTGAACTGACTTTCCCTGCGGCACTTGGTTGCCTGGCGCGAGCGCGAGAATGCGCGATGAGAATGCAAACGTATCCGTCCGCAAAGAAGAGTTATCACAAATGGCGAGCTGAATGAAATCAGAGGGATCCAGCAGGACATAAAAAGCATTTGATCCCGCGGGTTTCAGACCATTACAATCGCCACCATAAAGGTCATAACGTTCCCACTCTCAACGAAGGCCGTGGTGTCTGTTCATCATAGCGCTTGACACAACAGGAGGTTTCTTAACTCGTAATTCGAAAGGCCCATTCCATAAACCTTCAGAAGGCTAACGGACGTTGGAACTTCATCTTAGAGAAAAGTGGAGCGCTTGGAGATTACAACGGCAATGCACAGGAGGCAGACAGAGATCAACAAGGACAGAGGAACCTTAGCAGGGCTCAGATATAAGGAGATATAATTTCTCACATAGTTTCAGTAGTTGCGGATGTTAGCATCGGTAGCAAACTCCACATCATCTCCAACTCCAGTGTAGTCTGGTTGGTGACAACAGCAATAATAGAAGCAATTAGTAATCAACAGATCATCATGTGAAGATTAGCTTAAAATGTGATACGGGATGTAAGGATATACCAACAATTTTTCACACAGCATGTCCACTATTGTAATCAATGACTTGAAAACATCAAGAATGATGCCATGGATAGCTATCCCTTTGGCATCCGAAGTCCAAATGCGCGATATGGATCTAGATCTAGATGTTACTTGTTAGTAAAAATGCTTAAATAAAAGGCTGTATTAATCCGAGTTGAAAGAAAATCATGGTGATAGAATGTGCACTGCCGAAGCAGATGATAGTTGCTCTAACAAGCAACTATCAATCTGAACCCTTGTGGTAGCAATAATGAAAACCATGCTTTGGGCATGTTGTACCTGCAAAATGAGTGAAAATGTCATCCCATGGTATTCAAGACATCTAGATGCTTTGGGAAGGCCATCTCGTATAATATGGATATCAATGTTGCATTGTGATAAGAAGTGAAATAACGTCATAATAACGTGAAATAACGTAAAGGAAGATGGAAGTAACAAATGTGCAAATCATAGTGAAGAAACTGGTAAATGCAATAAACTTCACAAACTCTTTCGATCCTCACACAGGCTCCAACAACCGTCCATAACACAATACTCCCGCGATGCTGAGAATTAAACCAATGAACGTATGTTCAAAGTATCCCTGGAAGAACCCCATGTTCTTCCAGCTCGCCTTTGCTATTAAGAGTACTTATATTCCATTGTAGTAAACAGGTTGAACCAGTAGGTTTTAAAATTTATTTTAAATGAACTGTTGCTGTCGGTACAAAATGAGCACTCTCCAGTTGTATACATAATAAGACGTATCGGGATTAGCTCCTACTCCAGAGTTAGTTTTCTACCTTGTAAATCTAGATATTCCAATAGGTTTTAGTTTCTATGTGCCCCCTTTCTTCTACTTCCTTGTCATTACGTTTAGAGATGTTTGTCGCAGAATTTTGCCCAAAGTACAAGAGATTAAAAACTTGAATGACTGAAAAATACGAGATCTGTTTATATAGTATGAATGGTTTGGTTAACATTCTTATAATGAATATCCAACTTGATTCACGGCCTAAGCTCGTTCTGGAGTATGCCCTGACTGAGTTCGTACTTGGTCTGAGTTGTATTGAGAAGGGATGTCTCACAGTAGACTACATCCGTCTAACAGCGGGTATGTTCAATCTGACAAGGAACTACACATTCAGCTAATTTCCCATTGGACTTTATGGAACAGTACATCTTTCTAAGTATTGTTGTTGGTTTCAGTCATAGTCACACATAGGTTAAATTTAAAGGCGACGTGGAGGATCTGATTGATCGCGTGAACCTTTTTTTCAGATGTTTGGTTAAATTTGTCTTCGTGTTCATAGTGAAACACTTGGATTAACGATCTTTGTAGTTGGAGCCGATGTCCCAACCCCACCACCAATATTCTGTGGAACTGAAATTGAAGCATTTGAAAGTAGGAGGTAAGTAGTTCATTCTTCTTCGTGTGTGAGATCAAGTTACAAGTTCGTGAATGGATGCCCCATGATCCTGCCTGTTTAGTTTAGGCGATGGTATGCCGAGACGCCTCAAGTACCTAAACTACATTACGCGGGTTAGCCTACTTACTCTACCCTTCATTTACGCAGACATCTTTACTCTAAGAACACAAGGTACCTCCATCTACTGGAGACAGTGGATATTCTAGACACAAAGTCATCCACGTTCAGTTTCTATCAAAAATTTTATAAAAACTTATTAGACCGGGCCTATTAGATGCCGCCAAATGTTTCTCTAAACTGCCTACAGCAAGCACTAGCGTTTACGGATCGAGTGGATATTGAACTCTATTGCAGATGGACGTGGAGAGTTGCGAGGTTAGTAATTGAGAGGAGTGGAAGGTATTCTGTCCCTTTTAGTATGAAACTTGAGTGGATACTCAACTCTCTTGCAGATGGAAGTGGAGAGTTGCGAGGTTAGTTATTGAGAGGAGTGGAAGGTGTTCTGCCCCTTTGAACGTGAAACATGCCGATGAGGTTATTATGAAAAAATGCAGTTGCATCCTTGATTGTATTTAAGTTTACACATTAATAACTTCCAGAAAAACAAAACTGTTCCTCGAGAATTATTGAGAAGATTCAAGGACATGTCGTAGGTGCAAATTTAGACAAACATGGGTGCTGGATTTTATGGAGATAAACTGAATGGTTCAATCAGAGATAAGGTTTCTTCTGATGGCAAATTAGAGTACCTTCGTAGAGGTGGATTGCTGATAATCACAGAAATCATATTGGGCTACTCTAAGTTCCGAAGAACAGCATTGTAATATTGAACAGGAGGGGAAATCCAAAGAAGGAAATCAAAACAGGGTGATTGAAAACCTGAATACAGGCCACGTAGGAATTGAACTAAAGGTCTGTTGCCCATGAAATGCACATGGCTCCATTTTATGCACTCTAAATACTTAAGAAAACCCACATTTGCCCACCGCCTAAACTAAGTCTAAATGAAGGTCTCCTCGTGCGACTAAATTAAGCTAATTTAGGTGATTTCGGCGCCCCGACTAGACGAAGCAGGCCGGCCCATGATGCTTTCGCTGATATTAGACAGCGACCGTCCCATACGGGTAGAGGACATAAGGAATTTTTCACATGACTACGCTGCGGCTAAGGATCCGTTCCCTAAATTTATGTAAAAGCATGATAGAGTTTCATTCAGGTACTATGGCGGCTCGCAGAGAAGAAGAAACAAGTTTGTAAAGCAAATCAGCAGCAAGGTAGATTTGACACAAGGTAATAACAAAGACTGGAGTAAGCAAGCCAACTTTATATCATCAAGCTCAAACAATCCTTCATCTGTCAACTCATTAGATGTTAAGGTATCAACGCCAGTATAGACAACAAACATAAGTGAGAACCCATCGACTGAAGATGAAATCGGAATCCGTCAATGCAAAATTTAAACTTTCCATCAAGAGATACCTACTACGTGTCTGAGCAACTTCTACTTGAAAAATTCAACGCTACCTCTTACACTCACCAGCTCCTATGGTGAAAGTCAGACGCTAGGTACGCCTGTTTGTGAAAATGCTCATTTTATGCCGTCAAAACATGCCATAGGTTTCGGGTGATTAAAAACGAATGCAAGATCTGATGTCTATGGAATCTTGACAATCTCACGCACCCCTCGATACACAACAATGTGAGAACTGCATCATCTTCCTGTATCCTTAGTCTTGATGTATCATGAGCAACTCGCCTTCAAAGCAGTTGCTCCGTTTTTCACGATGAATTTTCAAACACCTTGAGGTGGACCTAGAAACATCAGCAGAAAGATACCTCCGTCTGCGGAAAATGTTTAAGTGGAGCTAAATTCCCCATAACCTCTTTTCCAGCTATGTAAGCCAAGCTTAACCTAGAGCCGTCAATGATTCATTGATTTGAACGGTGGCAATCCGAGAACCCCTGCACCGATTTGAACTAGAAGAACTAGACTCGACCAACAACACTCCCTGCCATGACACGGTACGTCACTTCTTTAAGCCTATACAAAGGTGCCCTTCTGATGAGGGTGGAAGGCAAGCAAATTGCTCACCGTTTGCATAAAATTTACATAAGCAAGAAAAAGTGCTCAAATTGAAACTCTGTGGAAACCATTGGTATCGGGGGCCCCCTTAGCCTCCAGCGAATCCGAATTTTCATCTTCGTCTTCCAGAACATGACGATATTCAGCTTGGGCAAGCTCTTGTCCCCTATCTTTGACCTGCAAACTGCCTCTGGCTTCATCCGAAACTTCGTTGTCTCCCAGCCGTTCATAGGTTGAAGGAACAGTGTAGATTCTACTCATTAGAGCATAAAGAGGAAGCAAAAACAGGAGGAGCATAGCCAAATGACAATTGAATTGGAGAGTGGCAATGGCCTTTCCTCTCATGAGTGACATACCTTCGCAGCGCAAAGTAACATCCCCCTCCCCTCTCTTATCTAATTCGCAACCTTGGGCCATCCACTTGGTAGTGTAAATAGATGCAGCCATTTGGAAGAACCAAGTCCCCTGAAGAACGAGGGCCATACTTCGAACGAATGGGGGGAGCACAGCCGTTGGAAAAGCTACTTCCATTGCTGTGGCAAGAAGGCAAACCCCGATGGGGACTAGAATCAGGGAATAATATTGAGTTTCAAGACCTGCGTCGTGTTCTCCACTATTGTTGGAATAAAACAGCAAAAACTCCTCCCCAAAAGCGAAAAGCGCTACCAATTCTAATGTCCCTGCCGGCAGAGGTAGAATAGTGGAGCTTTCGCTGATAAAAGCCACCAGGGAATACATTAGGAATAGAGTCGCCACGCCAAATCTCTCCAAAGACAAGGCCATTCCAACACCAGACCCATGGGCTTGATCATTACTCGAGGCGATTAAGCTAAATACCATATGCAGGATCGACAAAACGGCAATGATCGAAAGCTCGATATTCCGGTGAGAATTTCCTCCCTTCAGTAGTTGCCTGGACCTCCGCGCTCCACCTCCCGATGATGCAGAGTCATTTAACCTGAAAAATTTCACTACCGTAAACGCTTGCCAGAGCCCGATCGACAGAAAGCCCAACCCCGCACCAATCAATCCTTCTAAACCCATGCTTTTCCGCTGCTAGCTATGCGGAGCTCCCTAAAGCATACCTCGTTCGATCCCTGCCCTAGAGAATCCCCTCCGACATCCCACCTCCAAATGTCTGTCAGCTGGAGGTGATCCACATCGTCTTCCTCCTTGCCGTTCAAAGATCTGTTACAGATTCATCGGGGCAGCTTGGTCTGCCGATATTGGGTAGAGCGGCAGCCAAACCCTCCACTTGCTTCTCGAGTAGACCTGATTAACTTCGAAAGACAGCGAGTGCGCCTCTGGATCTGAAATTTCTTGTGCTGACAAACAAAAGAGGACGAGATCGACCGTAGTTCGTACGAGATCAACAAAGCCGGGAAAAAAACACCAACTTCATCGTCCTTGTTCTCTCTTGTCTCGACCTCCACTGGCCTACATAGGTGGTTCGCAAACAGACGAGCACAACAACGCCAAGGACCCCTTGATCTTCTGGGCATGGAACCCTCCCGCTCGCTCCCCAGTCCCGGGTCTCACCACAATTATCACATGGGGTAGCTGTGGGAGGTCGCTCATCGCCCATTTCTGGAAGAACTAACCTGCCTTCATCCTATATTTCACATATGCTGTGTTTCTTGGCCCCCTTGACTTTAATCGTTATTTAATCCCTCCTCTTCCATTTATTATGCTATTAGTACTTTTCCTAGTATTACGTGACATGAAATCAGGCGGCTAACGTGTCCAACTATGCTGGAAGGCCGCCAATATCCTGAAGAAACAATCCTAAGGCCAAAACCTTTTAAAAATTTTCAATACTAGTCTATCTGAAATTTCTATCGATGTGATTCTACTTTCCATATGTAGAACACATCCGAATGACTATTTTTCTTGCATCGACATGATGAACGCTTGATTCTCAAATCGAGTAGATTGTAATAAATATTTCATTGCTAGATGTTGAACGAACGCTATATATTTGCTTCTCACCCTTTAAGTATTCAACATTGATTTAAAAAAACACATCAGTTTATTACTATCCATATTCAACCTAAGCGGGATTTGACTTTCACTCCTTAAGTACACGGATCACTACAAACATGAGGAAACACAGAATTTCTAGATACATACAGATGAATTAAAGAATTTCCCCCAACTGTTTCATAATCTATAAACAAAATATCCTCATTCGGGTTGTACGTTTATCATGCTGTTATTTTATCCGGTATTTTTATTACATATGTTCATGTATTTCAAGATTGATTCGCTCTAATGATTTCATTGGTAATTTTCAATGCATATGATAAATGTAAAATAATAAACATAATACAACGACATATATATCTGGTTTTTGACTTTCTTAAAATAGAAATTCATCTGAAATTTTTAAAACAAACTTTATACAGTTCGGTGTCCCAAATTTGTCTCAGAATAAGCATAAGTAGATGAATGTGAGAAACAAATATTTCATGATAAAGATGTATATTAATCATTTAAATCATAAAATGTTATAAATTTGTGCAACTAATATCAAAAAGACAAAGTTCATCATCACATATTAAATAACTATGTCAAGTTCAAGGATATATTTTAAATTTTTGTTAGAGTTATTATTTTTTATCATTTATTCTCCCTAATGGTACTCAAAATTTCTTTAGCTTGAGATTTGTTGATCTTGGCCCCAAGCTAATGATATAACATGGCCATGGTTGTTAGTAGATATGGTGGTACTCCAATGGCTTGCAGCTTTTTCCATAACAACTCACAATATTTAGTGTAAAAACCCTTTTCATTGTCATTAAATTTCTCTCGTGAGTCCAAGATATGGTCAATAATGTTGTAAGTAGTGCAAACATCTTCTTGGAACCTCACTATCTTTTGGTGAGATTTAGTGCATGTGCTCACTTTTGACTCTATCAATTTGTCAAATAACTTGGGAAAAACACTATTCATCATGATAGTGCAATAAATTGTCATCAAGTATTTACTTCTAAATTTATGAATAGAAATAATCTTTCATATATATCATGTTGAAGTAACTCCATGAATATTAGCATTTTTTTAACATTTTAGTGAAACTCGATCTAATATCATCTACTTTTCACTCCAAAAGTTAGATAGAATGACCATCCAAGTTTTCACATTTATCATTTGCTAATTTTTTTAGTTGAATCATTACCTCTACTTCAAAAAATAAGCCAAAAATTCACTCACAACGTGAAATTAATGCAGTGTTGGAAAAAAATTAAGCTTTTCACAAAGGAAATTAACAATTTGGGATCAAAAAAAGGTTTAGAAGATCTTACTACTATACGTCTCTAGAAAAATGTGAGTTCCTTCAACATCTTTTTTGTCAAGTACTCTTGCTTCCTACTCAAAAAAGCTAATTTCTTAACTTTAGCAAGTCTTTATAAGCTAATTTTGGAGATCCAAAATTTATTAATTGATCTCGCCCTTGCGTGCTTGCAATAAAAGTCAAACCACCCATTATAAGAGATAGTACTAGCTCTCTAATTCTAAGGTTGCAAAAAAATATATCAAAGCAATTGTTTTTGAGCGATTTGATTAGTAGCAAACTTGCAATACAAGGATCCTAGCTATATGTAGTGTAAATCAAAAAGTCTTAGAATTGTAGCATATAAAGGTTTTTCTTACTAATATAATGGCATACGTAAAGTGTAATGACTTTTGACAATAAAAAAGTAAATAAATGAGGTGCATGATTTGATTGTGGTTGAGTTTATAGTATATCAAATGTTGAGATAACAGAGTTATCATGTAACAATCTATGGTTGGTTAGAGCTAAAGTAGAGTTTACTCTAAATGTTGATATGTATACTTTAGTGTGCACTAGTCATAGCTACCAAGTCAGCGATCCGCGCGCTTGGTAGGTAGAGAATGGATGTGTTAGTTGACAATACCACGTCAGCAATCCGTGTGCTGTAGGTAAGGATTAAGTGTGTTATGGTCACACGACCGGCAGCCGGCAATTAGCTCTTAGCTAGTGAATGAAGGAATCTTTGTATGACTCCCTCGTTCACATGGACATTATCCACTAACGGTAATCACATGGCCGGCAGTGGCAGGAATCAAAAGAGAAGTTAAAAGAACACCTATCGAGAAGAAGAGAATAATATCACTTCAAAATGTTACTTTCTTTCCTCTCACTCCTAATTCCTAAACTTTAGTGCTCATTTTCTTTCACTTCTACAGTAGACTCTTGCATACTAAATCTACATCCATCTTGCATTCAATCTTCATTTTCTTTCCATAGATTTCCACAATGAACAATGACGTCCAATATTTCAATTAATTTCTTTTATTGCAGTTCACATTGTTTTGTACGATAGAATGTCTCGATAGAGATCAAAGTATCAGTTTGATGTGGAATTGGCAACAAATCTATTGCATATCGATTATGGTGCAAAGGTTCATGCTAGAAAGAGTCACAAGATGTCGACGTTTATAGGCCCATGATAGAGGGATAGGGGAACCCGGATTTTTTGATCAAAACTTACTCGGGTCATTTAATGAGTTCAAGAGTCGCATGCAGATGTATGTTTCCACTTTCGAGTTCTTGTGTTCCACTCTTACGCCTTCATTGCAAAGATAAGATACCAACATGAGCTCGGCTATACCGGTTCAAGTGAAGATGGCGGTCTTCATTTCAAGATTGGCCACAGGTAACTCTATGCAGAGCATGGAGTTCCCTGTGGCTGTTAATTAGTTCACTCATGCTGTGAAATTGTTACTTCTCAAAATATTCATTTGGTGGCCTTCCATCACCATTATGGATAGATTTGCTAGAGAGTTTGAAGATATTCATCGAATACAGTATGTGCTTGATGCGGTGTATGGTTCTCACATACCAATTGTGGCATCTAGTGCGGCTAATTATTACAATCATGAGGGATTTCACTCTATACTATTGCAGTGTGTTGTATCTAGCAAGTGCATATTCTCGGATTTTGACATAGTATGGGTCGGATTCATTCATGACGCTAACCTATGGGGAAGAAACACAATTAGCCAATTTTGCGATGCTGAAAAGCTTGCGCCTTATGCTTTGGTTGGAGATGCGGCCTACCCATGCCGCTCTTGGATGTTAGCTCCCTTCAGAGGTCACAAAGACAAGCTTATTCGAGAGGAATACAACTAGAACTTTGTTGAGAGTTCCACCCGTATGTGCATTGAGCGAGCATTTGAAATGCTTAAGGATAGATAATGAATAATGTTAAAAAGTGTTGACATGAAACTTAAGAACATGTCTGAGTTGGTGAGTATTTGACTTGTTTTACATAACATATGCATCATCCTAGGAGACAACTTTTGAAAAACAGAGTGGTTGCTAGAGGCATCAGACGAAGTGCACAATGGAATGTCACTTATGACACCTTCACGTCCTGCGAGACAAGAGAAGCTTGCGGTGGCTAACCATGCTTTACATAGCCTTGCATTGCCACACACTCTCCTGTTTCTCTTGTCCATGGGAAACATTTTTCATTGACGTTAAGTAGTCTAGCCTAGTATTTGATGTTTGATGCATTTTCTGAAGCTAGCAAGTAATAAGGTTTTTAATGAACTTCTTCGACTTGTGTCCTTAGACATCTCTTATGAGGATTTATGCAATATCTACATATAATAAAATCCACATTTACTAGTTCAAGTATATGCTTCCTTATAAGCAAATTCTATTTTCACTTGAGATTCCATGCACATTCCACACACTTTGATCTCACTATTTTACCTTCTACATGCTTCAAATTGGTGATGCATCTAAGTTGATCACTCTTTACAAATGAATACAAACATTATGCTACATGACAGCAAGCTCAAAAGTGCTGGAAGAAACAACCAACTTTAGTTCTTGCAAAAAGCAACAAAGAGAACTCAAAAGGTCTGAAAAAACCACAAAAAAACATGGGCAATTTACAAGTATGAAGATCACATTGAAGAATATGTGTGTCACTTCAGGACGTAAAGACAAAGAGAATAATCTAAAGTGCACTTCTTTGACGTCCGGTAGTAAATCTTGTACCCCTATATTCATCTCCACCTAAAGTTTATCAACCAATTTCTCCATGATTTTTTGCATACTCATTAATAAAGCCATTTTTATATCATCATTGGTCTTCAAACTATCTAGTACTATCAAACTTCAATCTTACTACTCTCTTTCAGCTCTCAAAGACATCTTTTCAAAAACAAACGCTCTACTCACTTAAGCTCCGATGATTTTGATGAACTCATATCACTTTTTTCTCCGTTGTATTTGTCTCCGAAGTGACGCTGCACTTCACTCCATCTCTGTCCATAACATCAACATGGGCATGTGAAACAACGTTCATCCTGTCAAACATAAACTAGTACATCAAGAAATATCATCAACATTTTTCCAATCGTTGCGATCCCAACTTCATATTCATCGCCTTCTCTTCTTTGTATTATTTATAGATTGTACTCCACTTCTTTCTACATGCTTCACTATCTTTATGAACAGACACATTGACACAAGCTTCGTGTGAAGTTGTGACCAATTATCAACACCTAAACAAAACACAAAAGCATGGAAGTAA